ATCTTTTTTCAATACAGACATTATCTCATTGACTGCTGAGGCACAAAAGAACAGGCAATAGGTGATGCTTCATTTATTATAGGCTCTATTTTCAGCCAGACAGACGCGTTTAGCAGCAGTCAATGCAATTTGAGTTCAAATGATTCATTGGGGAAGGAAGTCATCTCAATTCTCACATATAATTTGGCATGACAATGGGTGGCGGATTCAAATTTAGCCTTCTATGGCCTACAGCCAGATTTCTTTACACTTACATTATAAGTTCTGAGCTTAATAGACAAATTAGGGTTTCTCTCCTCATATGACATGCCGAAAAATCCTTGTCTAGGCAGAGTCCTGCAGTATTTTGATGTCTTCAAGAGCCTTTTAAAAGCTCAAGAATGATTACGATCTGATTGGGCTGCACCAAATTCCCATCTGTTCCAGAGCTTAGCTGGATGGGTGCACACCCATGAGATTCAGCTGGAGATCATGGTGTCGTAACACTTCTGGACGTTGAGAGAAAGATTTGACTTAAAGGAACACTCCACCTTTTTGGAAATAGGTTCATTTGACTAGTCACCTATGGTTAATCTGTTCTCCGGGTCTAGAATAACTTTTATACACTGTAAAGCATATCTGTTAATTAACTGTTTCTTTGATTTGTGATTCACAAGTGTTTTTCATTTATTTACAGTTGTGAATTGCATTTTGGAATGTTGGAAAATATGGCGAAAAGTCCTACATGACGGTGTTTACTGAACGCGGTGTTTACTTCAATAATGCCACTAAAATATGCATACTCCACGTCTTATTTCCATTTCTGTTTAGATTCAGTTTAGATCAAAAATCGGTTTCGAGCTTATGTGGGCCTACAGTTTAAAAATCATGTTTAACTGAATAAACAGTTAGTAAAAACAAGTACATCTTATTGAACATCATTTATTTTCATCACCAATTATCATAGTACAACAGTTTCTTAAGCAGTTTGTGATGCATTTTGGAAACAGGAGATAAGACCCTGGTCTAATGCGCATTTTATACATGTATAATTGTCTTAAATAAAAAATAATTTATTAAGAACTATAATTATTTTCATGATTACATTTAGAGAGTAAAGGCTATACCGTATACAGTATTGTCAAACTCACCTTTTTTTTTATAGTTTCTGTCTTAAATGATTTTGAATCAAATTAATGACCTTAAAGGGCTAGTTCACCCAAAATGAAAATTCTGCCATCATTTATTTATCCTCTACTTGTTGAAAACATGTTTGAAGGTTTGTTCTCGTTCTGCTGAACACAAAAGAGATTATTTTAAAAAATATTGGAAACCTGTGACCATTGACTTTCATGCATGCATGTCAGGCGACATGGTGGCTCAGTGGTTAGCACTGTCACTTCACATCAAGAAGGTCACTTGTTTAAGCCCTGGCTCGGTCACTTGATATTTCTGTGTGGAGTTTGCATGTTCTTCATGTGTTTCCTCCAGGCGCTCCGGTTTCCCCTCATAGTCTAAAGACATACAGTACAGTAGGTGAATTGAACCTAAATTAGCCTTAGTGTATGTGTGTGAATGAGAGTGTATGGTTGTTTCCCAATGTTGGGTTGCTGGAAAGGCATCCACTGTGTAAAACATATGCTGGATAAATTGGCGGTTCATTTCACTGTGGTGACCCCAGATGAATAAAGGGACTACGCCGAAGGAAATGAATGAATGAATGAATGAATGAATACTATACATGTCCATGGTTACAGTTTCCCAATATGTTTTATCTTCTTTTATGTTCAACTAAAAAAACAAAACAAAAAAACAACAACTCAAAAGCTGCTTTTGAGCAAGTCAAGAATGAGCAAATGGGAATTTAAACTTTTGTGCAAGCTATCATTTTAAACATCAAACTTAATCTCTTTGAATAAGTTAAAGTAACATCAAAACATATGTCGTCATGACCTAATATTGATCACATAATTTTTTCACCCACAGTTTACACTTATTTATCTTTTCCACTGAGCCCTTAGCAACCCTGAACATCAGTTTTCAAACTGCTGGACTTCCATTTACATATATTGAATATGTAGTGGGTGTCAAGTCAATGAAGACATCACCGCAAACTAATATATATAGAGAGAGTCAATACAAATTATCCCTATCAAGAAGACACATGTTTTGCTTACAGCTGCCGTTTAAGCCAGATTTATTTTCTTATAGATTCTGCCTTGTATGTCATATTTATGTACAGATGAAAGTCTCCAGCTCACTGTCGATATTTCTGGAGGAAGGAGACACTGTCAGCGCATGAGCTCATTCCCCGAGGAGCCCTGTGTGGATCATGCATGCTTAAAGACTCTTTGATATGATAATAGCTTTGCATAAACATGACACTGTTATCACCCACATTGTCATAATTATAAGCTTCTCAGGGCTAAGGGAGTGAAAGGACTTCTCTCAGCCAAGAACGCTACTCTTTTAACAAATAGTTTTACTGAATGGATCCTGGAAAATAATGTGTTCATTATTCCAATGTTCAGAAAACTCAAAGCAAGGATCATAACAATTGGGGTTTTTATTCACTGCATGAGATTCTTACTGCAATAGAATTTTTACGACTGATGTTTCAACCCCCTGTGCTGCTAAATATTAAAAAAGAGAACAAAGTAAAGCTAGATCTTTTTACCACTTAGATGTATTCAGACCTGCCATATATGAGCTTTACTTTTATCTTAAATTCTTAAGAAACTGTTGTAGCAAATAGTGAAAGATTAAGCTATATGTAGTTCAACTTCATAAAAAATTGTAAACATCGAGGCACTTTTCAAAATATTATTTATATTATTACCCCAACCAGCAACACAGATTCAACCAATGGTACAATTTTGGGGCTAGGCTTGCTGTATTTTGACCACTGTAAGGACTGAGAGCATGGTTGCCAAGTTTTCTATTGGAATTCAGAATTCTTTAAACCTCTTGATGCAGGTTGCTTTTTAAATTTCACAGGTTTGACATTGTACCAGTTATATTTATATGGCTGTGTTGAAGTTCTATTCATCCAATGATGTAAAAACTGTGCTAGGATGAAGAAAGCACAATTTTGGAGTAGAGATGTGTGTGCATCAGTTTTCTGTTCTATGAAAACAGATTAGAAGAAATCCGATTTGGATTTTTGTCCAGTATTGTTTCACATGTAGATTGAGCAAACACTGAGTGCTATAGCTCATAATGGTGGGTTAGTTTTGAGCAGGTTTTGTCAAAATGCTAACTACATGGCTAACCTTCTCCAACCTACTTCTGCAAATTCAAATTCTTAAAAATTTGGATTTTAAAGGTGGCATCGGTTTAAATTTTCCTTCTTGTAGATCTCTTTGTATTTAGTTAAGTTCCTGTTCAAAAGAAAAGAGCTTCAGTTCACTGGTGTTAAGGATCAGATCCTCATCCTTCATGTGCAGAGCTGTGTTTGTTGATTTCCACTTTAACCAGCTCAGAAACTGCAGTTGAGCATGTGTTAAATACACCAGTGTCGCTTTTCATATATAGATGTTTTTTTTAAATACATTTTATACTGATAATGGCTGGCTGTAATGTCAAGAATGGATAAATTATGTGATGATTGTCACTGTACGACTAAGACAGCCATGGGACAATCTTACATTCTGTCATTAGAAACAGCTTCAATTAATTCTTTATGTCAGTCAAACAGACAAAACTCAGCAGTTTGAGGCTTTGTTAGGCATTGTTTACAGCACTGAGTTTGGTCCTCCAGAATGGATCAGTATGCTAAAACACAGCCATGATCCTGCAGTCTCAGACAGGGGCTGGGGAGCAGCAGCTCATTTAAATTTAAATTAATATAAAGCAAAACAGCTCACTTTGAACTGAGGTGCTTTTGACAGGGTAAAAACAGTGTTTATATACACGAGTTGAGAAATTTAATCAAAGTAAGTCTTAGACGTTTCATTAAGGCCCTAAGAATCATATCAACTTGTGTAAAATGGGTATCCAATGTCATCTTTAATCGTTAATAGAGAAGTGCACTATGGACTCTCTCATGACATATAAATCAAACTGATACAGCTGTTGGCTGCACGTGTCACACTTTCAGGTGCATGCAGTCCAGAGTTGATCACAAACTATGGATTAAACCCTGAGCTAACAGAGAATAATATCAAGTGTTGTGAAACCACTTAACCTGATCTTAACCAGTTTAGATTTGCCAACCCAAAACTTACTCTGCAAGCCTTCAGGACTGTTGCTAAATATTAGCTAAATATGTACATGTAATTTACAAAAGAAAGTCAATTTATAATTTAATTAAGTTTTTGAATCTGTAGCGCTATCCCAGTTGGTCAGATTTGCTGTAATTTTTATAATAAAATAATCCTTATAACTAATATACAGTTATTTTCATAGAAAAAATCGTTTATAATCTATATGGTGATGTAAAATATGTCATTTTTATGAATAATATATATATTGAATATTTATTTTTTATATATTTATATATATTTATTTTTTTTTTCCTTTTTTTGTTGCGAAGCAGTGGCGCAGTAGGTAGTGCTGTCACCTCACAGAAAGAAGGTCGCTGAGTCGCTGATTCGAGCTTTGGCTCAGTTGGCGTTTGTTGGCGTTCGGCTCAGTTGTTCTCCCTGCCTTCGCGTGGGTTTTTTCTGGGTGCTCCGGTTTCCCCCACAGTCCAAAGACATGCAGTACAGGTGAATTGGGAAAGCTAAATTGTCCGTAGTGTATGAGTTTGTGTGTGAATGTGTGTGTGGATGTTTCCCAGAGATGGGTTGCGGCTGGAAGGGCATCCGCTGCGTAAAAACTTGCTGGATAAGTTGGCGGTTCATTCCGCTGTGGCGACCCCTGATTAATAAAGAGACTAAGCCGACAAGAAAATGAATGAATGAATGATTTTTGTTGTGAAAAACCTGGCAACCCTGAGTGAGAATGTTTAGGATACCTGTTTGAAAACAGTCATATTTATCATTCAGTTGATTGGCATTTACATATTCATAAAAACTTACTCTGTTATTTTTGTCCACTTCTCGCACCTCTGCCTCAGTCACACCTTGTCTTATCATGATCTTGACGATGATGACGTTGTTGCTGCAGCATGCCTTGAAAAAGCTGACTGGCTCTGGGCTCTCAGGACTCGGGCATTTCTCGAAGCTGAGCGAATCATCAGGTGGGTAGAAGGAGTCATCTGATGCCATGCTTCTGCTATCTGGAAGTTTTGAGAAGTCCAACTCCTCAAACTCCTGGTAGACATCATCATCGTCATCATCATCATCATAAAAATGGTGGTCTTCATCATCATCTGCATAGTAAGAGTCCTCGTTTGGCTCTACAACAGTGGAGCTCTGAATGGAGGACTCCTCATTGGTCCAGCCTCTTGCTCGGTTGTCCTCAGTGTCATGTTTGTGAACCTTGACCAGAACAACACCTCCTGCAACACCATTCTCAGTTATTAGCACCATTTAACAATCCGACAGGTGCAGCACAATAGCAAAAATCTTCCAGCATCCAGAATGAAACCGTCACATAATGAATATTAATCCTCAAATCCAGTTCTTGACCCGATTACCTGTATTACATGAAGAAAACCTGTGGAAACAGAAGTCAAACCAGAGTCATCTTCTCCAGATCATCCACATCCTGTGCTCTTCATGAGCAAGTCCAGCTTTGGTTTTTGGTTGTCATATACATACCCTTGTTTTATTTCCAACTAAATTATCCCATGATTCACGACTTGACTAGCTCTGTGATCCAGTCCGAGTCTTGTTGGAAAATTCACCAATAGTTCAAAGGATTCAACAAGACTTCCATCGGAAAATGCTCTGACTGGCATGGTTACTGTTTGGAGAGAAGCCTCCTAATCCCCTTAGTCTCTTTCTGTCTCTATTCCTCCCTCCCCTTTCACAGTTACATGTGCCGAACAGTAATCTTACTGTCCGAGGAATCAATGCAGAATCATTTCTTCTTCCAGGCATTGCAGCAAATTTGCATTCAGGAATGATGAGCATGGCAGCACCAAACACTGCTGATGTCTGTTTATACATAGGAACTTCAGACTAGCACTGTGATGTACTATTATTATTCTCTATGGGTCTATTTTTAGCCAACTTTGATACTCACAAGCACATTCACTGTGTCTTTCCACACTTTGATAGTCTGTTTTGACTGTGATCTACCATTGGCTCCACAAGCCTTCTCGCCGGATTAGTGGAAGGTTAATTGGATGCAGCAGAAATAACATGCTGTTGTGGATAAGCTGTTCTTTCATTTGTGTCCTATACAATGATAACAAACACAATCTACACACACTGCCACTTTTAATGTTTTGGCCACACAAAAACTGCCGCTGCCAAACTACAATCCTTGGATTATGAGGTTTTGGGATGATGTACTGTATAAAGGCATGTTTTGTGTTGATGTTTCTGGTCAAAATACATTAGAAACAGCACATCCTAGAGGTTGTTTGGAGTAAATAAAAAACGATCAACTTCTGTATTTAGTATACAATTATAATTGAATAATTTTTATTTTTATTTTCAGTTATTAATTTGCCTTTTTTTATTTTGTTAAAAGATTTTATTGCTTTTTGATAGACTTCAGTGTAAAAGGTTAGTATCATTAACTTTTGTTTATTAGTTGGCCAGGCTACTTCACTCATTTTTCAGTATTTTTTATTTCACAGGGTTTCTGCAGGTTTCATCAAGTCAAACTTAAGACTTTTTAGGACCCTTTTAAGACTATTATGAATTAAATTTTAGACTTATAGAGGGTTAAACACTAATGATTATTTCTGATGGCCCGGTTGCTATAAAAAAAAATCAAATGTAATTATTTCTCAGTGACATACTTTAATGTGTTAAAACAAAATTATCGTAGTTAAATGTATACACTTTTTTCACCATAATATTTATTTTCTTTTTTTAAATGACACATTTAACATCATTAAAATTAAATTTATTGTGGAGGCATTTACATAAATAATCTAAATTATATGTTTGTTGGCTTTTAGTCCAAATTGATTGAGTAACTTCTATTAAACCTAATGCATTTCTGTTATAAAACCTTAAGTTTCATAATTATGTCTACTCCCCCTTATTTCTGTAATAATTTGTTATAAGCTTTGTATGAATGAAAGATAATGTAAAGGAGTATATTGTTCTGTTATTATCATGGGGAACTGTGTAATTGTTTTTAGTTTTCTTTCCCTGATTTTACTAGGATGGATTGTTGGTGATTGGATGGATGTCGGCCCGAATGGGTATAGCTTTATGGACAAAGGAAATTGAACCCCTGGTTAAAATGATGTAAAACACAAAACGCAATATTTACATGGATTTAAGACTTTTTAATGCCTAAAATATTGTTTTTAAAATTTTAGACATAAGACCCAGCAGACACCCTGATTTCAGTATTAGGCTACTTTTTGTCATAAATGCTGATTAAAGCGGTACATTCTAAGAACACTGTGTGAAGCATATTACAGTTTTTTCAGTCACTTTGGTCCATTTCTCAGATCAAAATTGAAATACTCAAAACTACTTGTTCAATCTTTTAATCATTGTTACATCAGAAAAGTAGTTTCTCTTTCCTTTGAACAAGTCACATGCCTTTTTCTACATCCATGCAAATGATTATGTGCAATTCTCTGATGTTTCCTACATTATCAGTTGCTTATGTCGCTGATCAAAATGTATTATTTTGGTCTGTTTTACAATCTCATCTTTGTGATGTTTTTTCATACAATGTAACAAAAAAAAAAAAAAAACCTCGGAAATTGTACTTTCTTATTGCTGGCTACTAGACTGAGTGTAAACTGAGGCAATACTTTCAGTTGATTTTTAACATGACACTCTTCATTTAGCCGCCTGCGGTGTTTTTTTAGATACAGCTCTTACAAACGACCAGTTTTGTACGGTGTCTGTGACTTTAAAACCAAGATATTCACATATTACCTAAATGCCGTTTTTCTTTGATAGTAATTCGTCTATGCTTCTAAAGTGGCAGACACCGTCATCTAACTTGTCCACGCTTTTGTGTTTGTTTTTTTGGGCGTTCCACAAAGTAAGGTCGTGCAATTCTGATTGGGAAGAATGAAAGTGTGCTCACTCTATTAGCTGGTAAGACAGCCACACACAGACACCAGTCATGCTATATACTCTATATAGTTTACATCAGAACACCCCTCCAGAGTAGCCTTTAACAATATGACTAATGACTAATTTGACTGCCTTATCAGTACACAATGACTTTTAATTCTGTTGGCATTGGCACGTTTATTGACAGAAATTTATGAGCTGATGATTTTGAGCAAGAGACTGGCCTTTGCAGGTCATCCATGCTGTTTTGATATTTGTACACGCTGTTTTGAGAAATGAACCTACTGTTTTGCAGATTTCAATTTTGATTTAATAAATGTATCAGAGACTGAGAAAACTGTAAAAGCAGGTCACTTTTCATCCCATACATCTGTTACAAAACTGGTCCGATTATGTCACTAATCCACAATGCATATTAGGCTGAAGATCATAAACTTTGAGCATCCGTAGCCGCATCCGTAGCCTTTTATGTAAAACACTGACATGACTGTATTTGTAAAAAAAAAAGTTTTTTTTTTTTTTGCATACAAAGTTTCTATTTCTATAGTAGTGCAAGGAATTTGTAGTAGCGCACTACAGAAGTACTGTAGATTATGACAACAGGAAATATGCTCATCTGAAATAACCAGAAAACACTAGTGTAATTCATAATTGAAAATCAGAGGCAAAAAAAACATCATGATCTTCAAGTTCTAAACTAGTTGACATCTCACATTACGTTCCAAATAAATATATTGACGTTTCATTTGACAGTTGTGACTGTTATTCAGAGTTTCTTGTTTCTTCTTAATTGTGAGGACAAAAAAAAAAAAAATGTAATAAAAAGTTGTAATTTCTCCCAAAAGTTGAAAGACATGAGCTATAGGTGTATTGGGTAATCTAAATTGTCCGTAGTGTATCTGTGTAAATGTGTATGGGTGTTTCCTAGTTATGGTTTGCAGCTGTAAGGGCATCCGCTGTGTAAAACATATGCTGGATAAGTTAGAGGTTCATTCTCCTGATTAATAAAAAGATTAAGCAGAAAAGAAAATGAAGAAACAATTTTTTTAATTATTTATCGGAAAAGGGCATCTACTGATTTTCTCTACCTTTATAGCTTTTGGTGATGTTTTCATTATTTGAATAATCATTTAAAAACCAGATGTTTTACAAAGCAAGAAGTTTTAAACACCACTATGATGCATAAAACCAGGAACACCACAGTACTCAATATAATATTGAACCATTCGGTACGACCTCCACAGTTCAATACGCATACAGTTATTGTGGTTTTTCGGTTCTGTATTCAAATTTAAAACATGTTTTTAGCATTTTCCTCTTTCTTTAATTGCTCTCTGATCTGGCTCTGTGCATATTTAATGTACGTCCATGTGCTGAAACAGTTCCCCGTGAGTAAATGTTTATCAGTGAGCTATAAAGTTAATGACGCTTTCATCTGAAATTAATGTGTGGCTTGTCAGTAAGCACAGTTGCTATGGAAGCCCTCAGGTTGATGTTTATAAAAGGTCCACCTCTACAAATGTGGAAGCAAACGATCAGACTTTGATTGAAGATTACCGAAACATTTTTTTTCAGTATATTTATATACATTTTACATACGAATGAAACATTTTAAGTATAGCAATCTGAGTTAGCGAAAAAAAAAACATAGTAACAAAATAAATATTGCTTGCTGTTTTTTCAAAATACTAATTTTAAATGAGCCGAAAACATAATTCTTGAGTTTTTTTCTTGAGACAACTTAATGTTCATTTTTTTATATTTGATTTTATGTTCGATTTCTTTAAATTTGTAAAAATGATGAGCCAACTTAATTTTGTCATGTCATCCCAACACAAATGAATTGTGTGGAACCCAGGATTTTTTACAGTGTGGACTGTAAACACCACAGCCAGAGTATTGCTGTCCATGTCCAGCTCTCTATGACCACAGTGTCCATTTTGTGAATCTGGAGCTACCGCGTGACACTTTCATGTCAAAATGGAGCAAAATCTCAGTGGAATATTTGCAGCTCCTTGTTGACTCTACAGCATACAGAATCAGTCAGGCAAAATGAGGTCAAACCAGGTACCATCAAGAGGCCGCTAATGTAAACCCTGAGTATCTCATTCAATTGTTCAAAATATGTACACTAACTATTCCAAAATTGATTAAAGACGACACAAACGCACAGTGCATACCACACTTTGTGATTTAATATTTGTAATAAAAGTTTTCAAAAAACAAACAAAAAAAAAAAGGTCTGCCTTTTTGAGGATGTAATTGTTACAGCGAGAGCCTCCCAGCAGAAGGTTTGAAAACATTCAGAATACTGAATATTTCTCACACAAACATGCTATGAAAAAAGAAAAGGCTTAGTAAACCAGACAAACAAAGGAGTTTAGTTCTGGACCACTACCTTAACCTGGATTCTAGCTGACCTCAGGAAAACAAAACAAAAAACTTGAGAGGAAATCAAATCGATGGACGATCAAAGATGAAAACGGTGTCACTAGTTGCACATATAAAAATAGAACATTTGCCTTCCAGAGGAGCGCAAGCTATCAAGAAGCATACAGTATCAGTTTCAGTGTAATAAGATACTATAAGGTCACTTATAGAATCTCAGCGCTGATTAACACTATGTCTAAAGCCGTCTGAGACAAACCCTTCAGGGAATCGTGAACTCGTAACAGACGCAGCAAACCTGAAATGAAGAAAAAAAAAATACTCTGCTACGAACAATCGTAAAGTTACATTATTTACAAATGTGTGTTGTGGATCTCCTCTTTATCTACAGACATAAAACAGATGCCTCTCCCACCAAGACTCATAATAAACCATACACTTCAGCCGATTTGATCAGTTTGATGAATTATAGCGAGTTAAAAAATTTGGTCTAAAGGGTTTCCGAACTATTGCTGCTCTTAAAAGATGCTTCTCTTTTCTTTTATTTTTTAATTTCTAAAAAAGTGCAACTTGTGTACGTGCCAGTGTTACGTTAATGAGAAAGTGTTGAGTAGGCCATGCTGAGAACGAGACGGACATACAACGGTCAATATCAACTTGAACAGCAAACAAATATGCTAGCTCAACCACTGACACGATTAGCACTCTTCTAAGCTACTCAAAGGACTTTTTCCAGAGTTAAAGAAGAGCTAGCAGACAGAGGTAGGCTTTGCAGCTCACTGTGAGCCATAAACACTACCGGCAATCTAGGCGTTCGGCTGCTAGATACTGACTCTGTGCTTCAATATTCTTAAACTGGTCAACAACAGTCCCGCGCAAACTGCTGCTGAATGAAATTCCCTCTTTCCCATGTGACCGGAAGTGTATGAGTGTGGCTTAACCATTAAACCCCGCCTCATCAGCTCTGCACATAATATCAGAGAGGGTAAAGCATTGGGAAATTAACGTAAGACACACTATCCATAGCATCAAATCAACAAAAGCCTCTCATTTGAAAACTTAAAGATCATATAATTTCATTGAAAACTCAGAACTAATAAATAAAAAAACAAAAGTACTAATGCGACAGTCCAGCTCCATTATGACCCAGACGTTTGTTCAGAGACCTGAAGTCTGACCGGCCTCTCCATGAGGGGTGATGAAAGACCCAAGAGGGTCGAGTCTTAGCACAAACAAAGTAACAACTAGATTTAATAAATTAATACACATACTTCATTTTTTTTTTCTTTTTTTAGGAGTGAGACATTGTTTTTTTAAATCCATGGTTGGTTGGCTGCCGGCCTGTTTATGTACATGGCTCTTTCGCCCCTTTTTGCTGGCAGGCTCAGAGAGACCAGAGGTTCGTTTGTGGAGTCTTTTAGTGAATGTGATGGATGTTTGAATGTACACATCACAGGTAAGCACAGGGAGCAGGAGAGAAAGGCTCATTCAGTCATTTGCACATGCTCAATCCAACTCTTTACTCCTGAACTGAACTGCTGTGTGTGCTGGCACTGGCTTTGCCAGCTTTCCGTTCATAGTTCACTAGTCTCTGTCCAACCAGGTACCTGCAAATAAAAACCAGAGGACACATCAGCATAAAACATAAAGCTTGGACAAAAAAAGGCTGTCAGCAATGAGCTTTGTGCAGTTTACATCGAGACGAAAAAGGCATTTTCAAATACTTTCATTTTGAAACCTATTTCTTATGTTTGCATTTTCAAACACACGTCAACGTGTAAATAGAGAAATGCAAGAAAGCATAACAGGTTAAAAATAAAAATGTCATAAAAAACAATTTACAAAAAAATTGGAAGAAATATCTGAAATATAAAAAAAAATTGAACAAAAAGTATGTATCATAATATTATCAATACAATGCATTAACATATTCACAGAATGTTTTATAGAAATTTAAATTATTAAAAGTAACTGGTTTCTTACTGAAATTTCTCTCGTAAGAAACTTGTCAGTGATTTTACAACAAAATGTAATGTATTTATTCATATGCAACATTTTCATCTAACAATCAAATATTTTTTAAATATGTACTTTTGTAATTTATTTGATTTAATCAGCCATACTTGATTTAATTACATTAAAACTTTATATAAAAAAAAGTTTGGTAATAATATACTGCATTTAAGAAAAATCAGGCATGTGATCAGCCAAGGATAAAAAAAGAAGGAAGAAAAGTCCAAAGAATCTTGAACCTAAAGAATATAATTTTTCCTGTAATTTAGTGGCTCTTTATTCCATATGATAAACTACTAGTCAGACAACAATTCCAAATATTAAAAATATTAAGTCCAGTTGAATTGAGTAGCCTATATACTTCAACATTCCACCCTGACAAAAAAAATATCATATCCCTAAAAAAAGTTTTTACTTTCCTTCAGCTTAGTCCCTGGAATTTAATAGTTTTAATTAATTATACAACACTTTTTAATAAATTTGTAATATCATCTAAACTTATGAAACTTTTAGGTATTAAACTTGAGGTTCTAGGCCCACATGGTCGCCACTGAAGCCAAGCAGGTCTGCGCCCGGTCAGTACCTGGATGTTAGTGAGGTGTTAGTGAGGCCAGCAGGAGGCACTCAACCTGTGTGAGTCCTAACGCCCCAGTATATTCATTGGGACTCTATACTGCTCAGTGAGGGCTTTTTTTTTTTTTTTTTTTTGATGAGACATCCAGGTGGATGCTGCACACAGTTGGTGGATAAGGAGATTCCACCACTGTGTAAAGCGCTATGAGTGTCTAGCATAAATGTAAGAAATTATTATTATTATTACTAGGCTGTAGCACTGAATAAATGAAGACATAAGGACAGATAACTGGCAGAGAATAATAGCAAATGTGCATCCGTGACATGCAAACGTGAAACTGAAAAAGTGCAGTCGAGCGCGTATTTAAAGCGATTTCAAAATCTTGTATATTGTCATCGGTTTCGTCATACTTCCGCATTATAGGACTGCAAAATATCAGTACATTATATACAGTCGCCTAATCTGAAATGAAGCAGTTACTGCTTTCTTGTGCATAATGATGATCAATGACAGTGCAAACAATAAATCAGATTGTCTGCTTTGATGACGATGAACCTCATTGACAATAATACATTTTATAGTATATTATTACTATAGAGATTTTGCAAGAGTACAAGTGTCTTTTCTGTCATTTTTTATTCAAATGCACACTTTCTTGATAAAACTATTAGTTTATAAAATTTTGAAACTCATTCTAAAATGTCTTTTCTGTCATTTTTTATTCAAATGCACACTTCCTTGATAAAACTATTAGTTTAGGAGATAGTACTAGTGGATTTAATTTTAAATAAAATTTCATAAAGAGTGAATTTCTAGACACTCCTAGAGACTCACTTGTCATTCTTGATGTGCTCATAAAGGCGCTTGAATTGTCGGATTTGAAAAGAGAGGATCCCCATCAGAAACACCACCATAAGGAGAAAGGGGTAGATTCTCCTCTGCACAAGATTCTGCATCTCCATCGTGACCCCTATTGTGAGAGATAAGAGCTTGTTAGAACAGAAAAGAGTGATCGACTCTAATGGTGTACCATAGCATGAGTTTAAATCTTAAAGGGACAGTACCTATAATGAAACAATAACACTAACAATAATGAACAAACCAATAACACACTCTGAAGTTATGCAAAACCTTTACGAGTTTATTTATTTCCGTTAAACACAAAAGAAAATATTTTGAAGCCACCACTGACAAAGTAAAAACATCAACAACAAATTTATGGAAGTGAAGGGCTACTGGTTTTGACCATACTCAGAAAAAACTGAAACAAGTGGACAATGAGTATGTGATCATCACAGAATGAGAATTTTTGGATGACCTTTAATATACATGGTGGATTTGTATGGTTTAATTGAGTTTTTGGGCAGATTTTATTTTGGGAGGTTCCGAAGAACACACCTGGCTTTCTTGAGCATTTAGGATATCTGTAACATTCAGTGGCACAGCAGGAGATGAGCTAATTTTACCACTTTACTCCCACAAACAGCCACTGATGAAGCAAGAAAGCATCGTCGACACAAATTGGTCAGAAAATGCAAATATGCTGTAAAACACTGATCTCTTTAATAACCATTAAGTGTCACGACTTCAATAAACTGATGTTTTTATGCAAAGCTGATTTATAAATGCTGCATAACTCAACTTGCAGCACTTATCAAGGTCATCCATCCATTCACATCTCATCTGAATTTTGATCCTAAAGAGCTCAAGTAGTCATTTACAATGCAGCAGTTACAACTGGACTTTTTACTCATTGATTGAAGACCACTTGAATTCAAAGATGATGAAGCCACTCGAGTGGGTGCTGAAACCTCTTCAACATAAAGATCAACCAATCAAAAAAGTCTAGTTACAACAACTGACGGTTTATTCTGTGAATGAGCGGAAAGTTAAAATATCAGTCTTATATACGCCGCCTGTTAAAAACTTTGAATTAAGACTTTCAAAAAATGTATAAAAGTCTCCTCTGCTCATCATGGCTGCATTTATTTGATTATAAGTGCAATTAAAAAAAGAACTAAAATTATTTTCTGTGAGAATATACATCTATTTTATACATTTTAGTGTAAAATATATTTATTAATCAAAGACACATTAAATTAATCAAGTGTTTAAGGATTTTTTTCAAACAAATGCTGGTATTTTGAACTTGCTATACTTCATAGTGCCATAGAAAAATGAATTAGATTTTTTTTATTCGCACAAATACATAAACAGAACAAAATATTTTTTTATTTTTGATATAAAAAAAACAAAGGAGCATTGTTTAAAATTATTTCTGAAAGATCACGACACTAAAAAATAATAGCTGCAAAATGTTTTGCTTTCAATAAAATAAAGTTTGAAAATATATTCACTAAGAAAACAGTAACTCTAAATTCAGATACCAGAATTTTGTTGTAGTTTTGAAATAAAATACAGTGGTCCCATGTTATTCACGTGAATTACATTCTGAAAATAGCCCGCAATATGTGAAACCTGCAAAGTATTTTTTTTTTTTTTTTTTTTTTTACAATTATTATAGATGATTTAAGGCTGTAAAACCCCTTACCACATAATTTTCTCAGATATGGATTAACCACTTTTCTTTTGTTTAAATGTCCAGAAGTCCAACTTTTTGTGCAATGGTTAGCATCTTCTTCTGCCTTTTGGGTGCTACAGTCGGTGCAGAATGTTTTGTCAACAATATGGAGTTAGTTGTTGAGAAAATTTGCAAATATACACTAGGGCACTTCTGAGTCACACTGCCAAGGATCAAAGATTTATGTAAATTTGGCAAGCTGGACGCATTCTGTACAGGGGACACTGCATGGAAGAGATTGATTGTCAGTGGTCTACAACCAAACAGGATGCAGAACACAATGCGCTGTATAAAAAAAAAAAGGCATGCCAAATTGCACAAAGAAAATCTGTGAAACTGCGAGACCACGAAAGGTGAAACGTGTTATAGTGAAGGACCACTGTATTAAAAGTCCAAAAGCCCATTTCATTATTTCATGCCTTGGTTTATTTTGATTCTTGTGATCTCACTTTTTACCTTATTTATCAACACCCAGTGAAAGTACTTTTAAAAGCTGTATCTTAAACACCATTCCAGAGAAATCTTCATCAAGTTGACCGTGCCCATGTTTGTTGTCCTATGATGTATTAGCTTAGCGTAGGAACTGATTTGCATGCCAAGTTGACTAGCCTTGCTAATATTTTTCTTTAACCATCAGATAAATTTTAAGATACTATAGCAGCTCTGTTTTTTAGCATTCTAATCTACTAAGAATGTTAAGTACAGTTCAGTTTTCTTAGTGAATTAGAATGACACAACATGCTCCCGTTTTATGGGATACTTCCTGTCCAGGATTTCTATATAGTAAACATCAAGGTTTTTGTTGGTTTGCATAAAGCATTTTAGACTGGTCACTGTATGATTTCTATAAGAGATACAGAGAACAGACATTTACATTCTTACATGCCACTATTTGTCAATTATTTTTGTACAATGTCAGCATGTTATTGGTCAAACTACTTTTCAATCATTAATATCTGCAGGTATGGCCAAGATGTGTCCCATAATAAATTGATTTTAGTGTCACCCTATTCTGAATGCTCACCTCAGGGTTGACATGGTGACATGCATCCTCTATGGCACGCTGTGATAAAGCAGTGAACACCTGACCAAAAGGTTGCAGGTTTGACTCCCTTGAGAAAAATCGCTTAACCTAAAATTACTTTAAAACTAGTTTATGATGCATTTTTATTTATAAAAACTTAGAGAGCAGGGTGAGAATTATTATGATAAAGATGCTGTAGACTAAATTTTTCTAATGACAAAACCACCAATGTTGTATAACTCATCTGTTTTTTTTTTTGTTCTACTCACCAAGCAGGGGCACGATGCCCACAGCAATCACATAAGGGATGCAGAGAGACAGCAGCAATACAGCAATGACCGGAGCCGCTAGCTTCCTGATGATGAAATGAAGGTCAATGTTCCGGATTCCATTGGCATACACCTAAAAAGAGGTAAATCATTTAGTTAGTTTGTGCAGTAAAACATCTAGAGCCATAGCAGCACTACAGAGATCATGAACAAACAATAGGTCACAGCAGTCACTGACCTGCTCAATAACGGTCTTCAGCCACCACTGGGGACCCATGAGGGTGATGGCAGCAATGATTTTGGCATGAAGCACTCCTAAAGCCCAGTCCTTAACAACACAAAGAATTAAGAGTCAATACCACTGACACGGCCATACCTCTGTGCCCCACTTAGCACCTGTGGAAATTAAGATCTCCAAACAGGATGGATTAGATTAGCAGGGCAAGAGAGTCTTTTGAAAAACTGCCTGCTACTGGAGTAAATCCAGCCAAAATCTGTTTTCCGGAAAACATCAGCGACACAGCTCATTAGCTTCCAATAGAGAACAGTACAAAGCATAAAAACAAGTGCTGGGTCAAATCAATACTGACACGCAGCGGACATGGTAGATGAAAATAAGGTCATTTTAAGACCATCTATGTATAAAGAACTAACAACATTAAAAGTGCTATGGAACGCATTGATAGCGTATGTTAAATTGTTGTCTGATACCTAAATAGAAGGTATTAGGAGTAGGTTATGTAAAAATCCTCTACAAATGGTATTACAATTCCATTTCCATCCCTAGGAATTGGCAATATTATGATATGGTTGGTTTTGAACATATTTGGACTGATTGTGAATATTAATATAACTGATGCTGACTTCTACCACAATCTTTTCTGAAATATGTGTAAAATACATATATAAAAAGTTAACAAATTGAGCAGATTCCTGGTTAAAAATCAATCTTTTTAACTAAATTGGTAGAGAGGTTTACTTGAGCTAGAAAAAGTGAGTGCGCTACCTTTAAGCCACCAGAAAAATCTTGTTGTAAATGAGATATAGACAAACTTATATTTATACTTGACAAAAGTGGCTGACAGAGATGCATTTAGAGTTCAATTTTGTGTGGTTAATCTCTATGAATACAGAGCCAAACATAAACAGCAACCTCTGCATAAGCAGATGAGTTGTATTTGCTTGTATTTGCTTTCCGAATCCATATATCCAGCATATTGCATTCTGTCAAACTGTGAACAGATGAGATGGATGCCAGACAAAAAAGGAAATCCTTGTTTGCCCTCGAGGTGGTTGTTTATATAAGGATGTGTGTTATGTAAAAAAAAACTAAAGTAACTGATGTTATTTAGACCACTTTTGATATATTAATTGTAGATTTCTGACATTGAAATCGGATGAAAAAAAAAGTTAATTTAAGTTCATTTAATAACATGTCATTATTATTAATTAATCTTCTATATTCCACAGAGGAAACTTTTCAGGGTTTGTAAGTAAATCATTTATCATTTTAGGTAAACTGCACCTTTAAGAGCAGCACTCCTAATCATGGCTTACCTGCCAGGGGTAGAACAAAGGAGTCTGATCCAGCGGCACTCTGAGAGGAGCTACAATCACCAGCTCAAACAGCAGTCCCAAGAGCAGAGGAATCACTCCAGCCAACAGCACAGCCACAATCAGGGTCTTCATAATCTGAATTCACACAGAAATCATCAATTACCAACACGGCTGATTATATATAATCACCTGTGTCTTAGCCTTTCTTTGCATATGGTTTTCTTGAAACAACAACAGTTTCAAGGCGTTTTCACACCTGCAGGTCAACTGTTTTGTCAAAAAACATGGTTTCAAAATATAACAATTCCTACTTTTTATTTCTAAACAGACTAAAATTCTCACAAGCAGGTAAACTCCCATCTCATTGGTCAGTGCACCCATTTATGCTCCTGTAATCTTCTCATATTGGTCATATACCAGAATGAATAGATAGCATCCCTGTGTGCTTATCATGGCTTTCTTTTTCATAACTGGTTGTACCATTTAATAATTTTGAGCAAGAATCAAGGTCATCAAGGTATTTTGTGTGTTTTAAAGCATTGTTCTGAAATGTTTCTTTCACCAAATTACAATAAATCATTTTACATAGACTTTGCTCTAGATAAACCCACGGTCATTCTGTGTGGTAGGCTTCTGCTGGTAAGCTGCAAAAAAATTACTTAAACAAGCAAAATATACACAGCGGGTAAAATAAGTATAGACACATCACCATTTTTCTCAGAAAACATTTCTAAAAGTGCTGTTGACTTGAAAGGTTTACCAGATGTCAACAACTAAAGTAACAGTAATAGTAACAACTAAAGTAATCCATACATAAAATAAAACAAAGCTAATTTGTTAAAAAAAAAAAAGTAAGTTACATGTTAAAAAAAAAAAAATGACAAGGACAAAGTATTACACACACGAAGGTGTAAAAAGGCATGAAAAGCCCAGAAAGCAGCTGAAATCTCTCAGTAGTTAGAAAGCAGCCCTGCCCCTCTTCAGTGTACATAAATATTAGATGTTTCAGTTCCACCAATTAGACTGCCAGAAGGATGAAGATGAAACCGGATTAGAAATTAAGCATAATGATCACAAACAAAGCCAAAGAAACTGGTCAATTGGTTTCAGAAAAGAAAATACAGCTGTTAGAATGGCCAAGCAAATCACTTAAGTTCAATCCAATAGAAAATAAAAATTAAATATCAGAGTTGATAGATGAGAGCCACAGAATAGTCAAGATCTTTAGACTCTGTTAAAGTACGGGGGGAAAAAAATAAATAAATCACACCTGAGCAATGCATGTGACTCCATTCTTCAAACACGAGCTGTCTTGAAGCTGTCATTACCAGAAAAAAGGCCTTTATACAAAGTATTAAATGCATTTCAGAGTAGTTCAGTGTCTTCTCCTTGTGTCATTCCATTGTTATAACACAATTGCATTTGTTTATTTTTATGTTTGGGCTTTTAACCAAAATATGGGTCAATTTCATGTCAACAGCTTCATTAGAAATATATTCACCAGGAAAAATCATGACAAATTCAATACTTATTTTACCCGCTGTTCATGTTCTGAGTAAACAAATGTTTTTAAAAATTAAACTGCAAAAGGATAACAAAGTACAATCAATAGGTAACAGTAACACTCTACAATAAAGTTTCATTAGTAAATGAGTTAATGCAATAACATTAGCAGTGAGAAACAGTTAAAAAAATACAACATAATAATATAATTTATTAATCACCTGAGACTAATAAAGGCTTTTTTAATTACAAAATTTGTAATTTGTAATTAATTGTCATAAAATTGACTTTAGTTAAATAAACTGATGTTAACAAATGCAACCTTACTGTACAGAATTTATAACCAACAGGCTATAAATAGGCACAGAATTTTTAAGGTTGTATGCAAGATTAACATATGAAATATTCATGTTTGAAAATAAATCACCAATGAAGTTTTCAAGCATTTGTTGCTGTGATGAATCTAAATATTCTTAAAAAAAAAAACACAGTAAATGTTAAAAAAATAAATTAAACTTTACTGTATTTTGAAGTGCTCATGATATCAATATTGTACATGTTCATTATCAGGATATACTGAATCCTTAAATATCTGCGCTAATTTTCACACAGTGTAGGTAATAGCTCATCACACTGTGTGATTTGATTCATTGGTCCATTGGGTCAGACTTTTTTTTTTTTCCTGGAAAAGCAGGTTTTGTGTTTTCTGCACTGCTAAAGAAATTTCAATTTGCATGAACAATTTGCATTAAAGCATAAGGACTCACAGGGTTAGAATTAACACCGTAAAACCAATATGATTATTGCTGTTCCTATAAATGTATATGCAAAAGTGCTGAAAAAGTCTCCAGAGCTTTAACAGAGGTTTCATTTCCGACATGTAAGTGGTCAAATTAAAACAGACTGGGCCATCTGACTACTCAGAGCTCAGTGGGCTCTTAGAAAGGAGATGTTTTGAGTGAGTGGAAATTCAAATAAATTACTATGGAAGTGACAGGAAAGGTAATATACTGTTAAAGTCAGAATTATTAGCCCTCCTGAATTATTAGCCCCCCGTATATTTTTGTCCCCAATTTCTGTAATATTAAAAAATTAAACTGTTTTTGCTATTTTGATAAATATAACCCGAGTGTCCGTGACATCAAAACAAAATTAGGAACTTTTAAGACAGAATAGCAGGGGCATTTTAAGTCAAATGGTACAGTGAAGTAACCCCAAACTCTCAGTTTAAACGCTAATGTTGACACTTATAAGACTCTGACAGCATTGAACTGAGTACCATGAGGGTCCACTCCTGAATCTTGAGCAGGATGACTCTGCGACCCTGAGGCATCCAGGCCAGCAGTACGGTGATCGCTCTGATGGAGAGCCAGCACACATAGAGGCCACATGCTGCAGTGTACAGCTCGTGGATCTTAGCACTGCCCGTCCAGAAGGACATCAGCCAGCGTCCTGTAAATACTGCCATGAACACAAACAGACAATTCAGAGATCTGATCAAATCATGAGGCAAACTTAACTTATGCTCTCCCTCTCTGAGAGTTTAAATGTCAATATGAAAATAAGAGTAGTAAATACAGCTTTTCTGTTATGAAATGTTATTACATAATATTTAATAACTGCTAATACTTGTAAAGGTAAAAGTTACACGGAATGTCTCGTTATTGCTGCATTTCTTTATTTGATCAAATACATTTAAATTATTTAATTATTAACATTTTAACTGTTTGCTCTACCAAATGGTTTACCATATTTTGACTGTTAAAGTCATATAAAGAATGACTGTTTTAAATATTGGTTTACACACGCAGCATTGTTGGTTTACAACAAAAAATAAATTAATCAAACAAACATAATCCTGCTGAGAATTAGAAATATTTTATGGCATAATTACCAAAAATAAAGATATGTTTTGAAATAAATTGATTTTACACTTCATATTTTCAGGTTTTTCATAAAATATTTACTCATTGCAGTACTTTTACCATAAACCAACATATCAACCATTTGGTACAGGGTAATATTATAGAAATGATGGGATGTATTGGAAAAAAAAACGCATTTAGTTTGTTAACTAGCATCATTAGGAGTTAAGAAATGCAATCCAAACATTTTTTTTCTTGGTGGGCCAGTAAAAGGGTTAAGAGTTTAGTCACCCTTTTAGTCACTTTACAATTAGTTTTAATGTTATTATTTAATGTTAGTTAAAGTGTTTACTAACATAAACTAAAAATGCACAATACTTGTGTCAGTACCAGCCTTTATTAATCATAGTTCAACATTTACTAATGCATTATTAACATCATGCTTGTTAATGGTTAATGCACAGTAAGTTAACATGAACTAAAAAAAATTAACAGCTTTATTTTCCTCCGTGATGAATAAACAATGTAACATATAATAAATGCATTATGTTAGTAAATAAATTACATAGCACTGACTAATACAGCCTTATTGTAAAATGTTAAAGTTCTATGTAGTACTTTTATAAAAGAAAAGCTGTTCAAATAAATAAAGAAAACACTGTTATCTGGAAAGTATACCAATAAAACAATCTAAAACGATGCTAAGACAAATGAATAAATGACAAAAATATATATAAAAAAACGAAAAGCAGCTTTAAAGAATTATTAAAAGGTCCATAAACTAATGTGTTTCCGTTCTCATGTCTCTATATAAAAGCTTCAAAAACATTTTATTTACTATCCACTTTTATTGCAATCATTTTTAAATCCTGTAAGCTCAGAAATCAATACACTTCAATTGACTTTTTGTGATCCAGAAAGAAAAAATGTCATTTAAAGTCAATGTTCATAACAGGGTGAACTAATAATTTATAACTCCATTTGTTTGCTTCTCACCTGGTAACGTAAGACACACTAAACTGGCCAAAAGTAGCGTCACACACATGAACAATATCAGCAAGACAATCTAGAGAGGGGAAAAAGAAGAAAAACAGTTAAGAACCATTAAGCTGAAAATCAGATAGATCAAATCTAGACAATCATAAAAGAATAAATGTACAAATAAGAGACTTGGCGTACCCTTAGAGGAAATTTCATAGGCCGATGATAGGGTTGGAATCCTACCGGGCCGCCCTGCTGCAGTATAGCCTGGTGGGCAGCGTGCAGCCCTTCTCCCACCACAGGAATAGCATTGTTACGGGCCTGTTGGTTATTGTTGTTGGCTTGCTGGTTGGCATTGTTCTCGTTGTCTTCCTGGTCTCCCAGCAAGTACGAGTGCAAATCACTAAAATGTGCGGCACAAGTAAGGTAGATTAAGATCAACATTGCAGCTCCAAGGAATTCAAAAGACAAGAAAAGTATAAACAAAAACCCTCATATTAAACCCCAGTTTACATCTTAAATCAAGATGTTTTTGTGTTCATTTGTTCACAATGAGACACCATTAAATGAATTAAAACTGTTTTGAGCTTGTCTGCTTTTGGACCACTTTCAAATAGTGTTAGAATAGATTACGTTCTATTTACTTCTATAAACACGTGTGTGGTTGAATACATTCGAACAGCCACTAAAGACCCTTTACAGACCAAAAAATGTGATTGTTATAAGAACATGTTATGAGTGTAAAATTAACATACTTTTCTTTCGCTTGCTTTTACTTAGGCAAAGTAAGTTTATTTACAAAAACATTAAGTGTAAGAATAAAATAAGTTTGATAAATAATAAGAAGAAATGATATTAAAACAATCAAAAACAGATTTAAATGTGTTAAAAACAACACAAAACAAAACAACAAAACAATCCATCTAACACGCAATTTCTCATTCAAAAGTACAAGACCATTGCACTCCTACAAAAGTTATAAGTAGTGGTCCCCACTGCGGTTTATCACTGCAGACCAGTCAACACTTTACAGTTTCATAGCCAGAAGGGCAGGGGAGTTGGTAAACTTAGGTAGATTACTAGGCAACCATCCACCATTTTCTCAGAGGATGACAAGCTGACAAAACATTGCTGCAACTCTGATACAAGTCTCATTTATGGAGAAAATTACAAAGCACTGCAGCGTTAGAGTGTTCTGTGTTTGTCTGATAAGCTGCTTTGACACAATCTACATTGTAAAAGCGCTATATAAATAAGCATGAATTAAACTGATACATTTAATCTACCAAAATGTATATATTCCACAAGTATGAAGCTGATAGGTCAGTTCTTGTCACATAACTCGCTGTGCATTGTGCTCGCAGCACTTAGAAAAGTAGAGTAATTTTTTGGCACGTCTCCATTGAAAAAATAAACATCTATGTGAAAAAACGCGATATGTGAACAGACCCTGAGGCTGCCGTCGTTCGTGGGTACTTGGGAAGCTTCCAGACGAAGATAACTGGAGTGAAAAACTCTGGTGCCAGCCGTGTTGATCATCAGCACGTGATCCTCTCAAAATTAGTTTACAAATAAACCCCACTTTGCTCATTTAGCTTGTGGGTTACATTTTGGTGCTTAAGTGACCAGGATATAACCGAAATAAGAAAATACGGTCATTTTTCAGAATAAAAGATTGTTTAGATTGATTATAATAAATAAAAGGGTAATAATTCATAATTTCTTGTGAGGCCAGGTACTAATTAATCTACAGGCCGGTAATGGTTCGCAGCCCAGGGCTTGGGGACCACTGATAAGAGCATGATGAAATTAAATGGGACTCGACAAAATCTATTATCACTTGAGATATTTGAAAGCATGTTAACATAGCTGGTGAAAATAGTAATGTGCCTTGGGAGACCAAAGGTGAAAGCGGGGCTGTAGTGAACTCTGGCTGACCTGCATGGCACAAATAGTTGAATTTATAACGAAAGTACATAACACACCAAGCGTTTTAATGCAAAATCTATTAAGTCAAAGCTAATTATTTATAAATGCTCAACAATTGTGATTTGAAGTTCTCCAACGCTAGATCTTTTTAGGACAACACAGGGGAAAATTCATATGAATTCATGAGGTTAATGGGCGTACTGAGCAGCAGGGTAAATATGTATGGGAGACTTACAGCAAGTATCCAGCGGTCACGGTCCAGGCTCGCACTAGACCTTTGAGCCACTGCCGTGTGTGTCCTTGTTCCAACAGTGCAGGAAGAACGACCTGCAACAACAGCAGCTCCAGAGACAACTCACTCACTGGAGCGTCACTGAAAGAGAGACAGAAGAGAGACAAAGACATTACAATTATAAATAAAATAGTAGAGTCAATCTTCTCAATTGTCAATAGAGCTGTTCAGGCATAACATCAATTTGTAGCCCACTGATAGGGCTATATCTTCATGGGTTCCCTAAGGAATATCTAATTGGTTTTTAGGAATAAAAAATCTTGAGTCATTTTTGCCAAATTTGTAGCAATTTTCACCCTATCAACACTCTTCTGGTCATCCTTGAATAGCAAGGTCACACTGTCACTCTTAAATCTATATTATACATTTTTAAATTCTTGCATATCTGGATTCATGGAGGCATTAATAAAAACTTTAAAGACCTTTTTAAGATCAAAGATTTAATTTTTTTTTTTATTTTGCAAAAACAAACTAAACAAAACTATCTTAAGAACTACGAATAATGTCTAAGGAGCCCATGAAATCTGATCCCACTTTATTTTGAATAAATTTTACATAAAGTACATGAATAACTCTGATTCAGTCACTTGAATGTGGAAGTTACTTTCACCTTCTGATCAGACACATTGCTTAAAACTTAATACTTTATTAGTGAGAGAAAGATTAAGCAGACCATCTGTGTGAGGATAAAGAATGAGCCTCCTCCTTCGATCTCTTTACTTTCTCTTTAGTTAACTTTTACTCTTTACTTTACTCCTTTACTTTCACAAATAAGAAAATGGAGTTGTACACACTCAACTAAATAAATCTATTATCCAACATAATTAAATTTCGTTTGTTAAGCACAAAGATTCATTTTTAGATTCAGTTCTAATATCCAGGAAGTTAATAAATGAACACTAATATTGAAGTGTCATCAAAAAACTAGGTTATATAGGATAGGATATATATATATATATATATATATATATATATATTTAAAAAATTTGATTTTTGAAAAACAAAAAAAAAAACAAAAAAAGTAAAAGAAAGAAAAAAATAAAAAGCTTCTGCCAGTAATTTGACCACACATAGGGGGTGTTCAGATAGGTAAATAAACAGAAAAAACAAAAAAAAAAACAAGGGAAATAAACAGTAAAACTTTTCTGTGACAAAACAGAATTTTCATGATTCTGATAAAACATCTGTTGATAATATTATAACAAATAACAATTTGCAATATCAAGCAGAACAAGAGACTGCTTTTGTCCTGGTAAAGGTAACTGGCAGCAAATGATACCAGAAGTTTTAAATGGCTGCAACCACCCTCCAGTTATTAAATAAAAATATTTCTAATATATTGTTCATTATTATTAATTACATTACAGATTTATTCATGCTATTCTCTTTAAAAATTAATTTGTCATCAGCAAAGTCACAGTCCTAAAAAAAAAATCCTATCTTATCCTATCCTATTATTTTAAACCCAACAGACAAATACTAGAGAACAGGATGTTAAGTTCAAAGCAATCAAGAGAAATTAAACATTAAACTTCATTACACATTAAAGTAAATAATAAAAAAAAAAGTCACTCCTACGTCATTACAATCCAGTGTGACTAAAGAGGATCTTCTCTTCTGAAAAATATCTCAGTGTTTTTTTATTCAACCATACTTAAAGTCCATCATTTTAGACTAATAATTTTCTTTGCATGGACAAACACATACAAATAAATACACGTTTTCTTTTGTGTTGCTAAGTCTATATATCATATTGTCTAAACAATAAGAAATAGAGAAAAAAACATTATGTAACACATGAAGTATGGCCTCTTTCCACAGAAGTCAGAGTCAGTGCTCCAACAAACACTAGAACTGTTCAAAGTACTCTCAAAGTGACGAATATAAATCTTAGCACAGCTGAAAGCACAGCAGGGTTAAATGGGGTAAAACACCCTACGCAAACACTCAGCTGAGGCACTTTCTAAGTCATTATTGTTGTGGACACTACATTAACAGTTCTCTGCAAGATCACACTATAGAAAGGTCTCCTGGGAATGAATGATGACATCAGGTGTAACACACCTGGCAAATGATGCAACAGGCCCACCTGACACTACAGAGAGTCCCTGACACTCATTAGGTAATGAAGCAAAGGTCTGACCTGACAGCAACAATTAGAACTTCACATTTATGACCCTTTCTTTTAAACATGATGTCACGCTAAGAAAGAACTGTGCCTCTTTCTGTTCTGCAATCTCCAAGCAGATTAATAAAAGCAAACGAAACAATTGACTTTAAGTTCAACCTCTGAATACGCTTATACAAAGTTATGATTAGCAGCTATCACAAGAGAATATTAAGCTTTAGGGCTTTAAGATAATGATGTGGAAATGCAGATTGTTTACCTGTAAAGCATCACATTGTAGGGTAGAAATGAAGGAAAGATGTGCTTGATTATCCGGATAGGAAGCCACAACATGAGAAGAACAATTGAGCCAAACACAACCTAAAAAAAAAAAAAAAAAAAAAAAAAAAAAAAAAAAAAAAAAGAGAGAGAGTGGAAACTTCATTTTTACATTCAAGAACATGGAAGAAACCATCCAGGACCACAATGTTACTTAAATAATAATCAATAAACAAAAAAATGGAGGTAGGGTTTTTAAAAAATATATTATGTATAATATATTTTGTATTTATTCTATATATAACTAACATACCAAAGCAGTAATCGAAGTATACTACTAACTATACATAAACTATAAATATTTAACTATACACATATCCTAACTGTGTGTTCACACCGAAGGTGGTGAGAGCATCAAAGTTCTCTCGGAGCCTGGCAACAACGCTGTCTGCCTTCACAGCTCGGCGGCAAGAGCGTCAAAATACGCAACATTGACCTCGTTTTTAAAGGAGCTGTTGCAGTAAATCAATTACATTCCAGAAAAAAATAATAATAAACATGCATTAGTGTGAAAATGTTAAGCACTCTTTTTATCAAATTTATTTAACAATGGAAGATCTAGTTGCAGCGTTTGGTGTGGCTTTGCTTTACTTATCCAATATGTGTCTATATGTCTAAAATATCCTGAAACAGCAATACTGTTTTGTCCTTTCATTATAGTTAGCATGAGATTCCTGCCGTTTAAAAAAATAATAATAATAATAATAAATAAATAAATAAATAAATATATATATATATATATATATATACACACATTAATGTACATAAGTAACTCACCAGTAACTTTTTATTGCATGTCCTTGTAAGAAACCGTTAAATTATTGGAAATCCAGCAAAAACTCTATGATCAAACCCTTGGGAACAACTGTGGTTGGAACCAAAGTTCACAGGACTAAATTCTGATTGCTTGCCGCTGGTGACGACGTGCCATGCCGCTCCTTACTGCTGCTAACTTTCATTGAAAATAAATTACTTCTGGCTACTTTGATGCTCTGCACTTTCGGTGTGAATGCACATTAAAACAGACTATACAAGGTCTTTTACAAAAGACAGAACAAAATCATACAATATATTGTGTAAAATAGGTATTTAATGGGTATTTAAGTAATGCAAGGTGAATGTGTGGTAGGTTCACAAGTAAACATTGTGTTTCTTATTGAGTCCTTGCAAGATGGAGTTTGAATAAAGTGTCCTGTGCATATAGCGAGAAGAGTGTTTAGATGAATGGTTTGTCAAGCCCAATCACCTATGTGAAGCACACTCAGAAATGCACAATGTGTTTTAACAGATATGGAGTAATTGTAAGAAAGTGTCTGGTGCATAAGTGTTTTCTACAAAAAGTGCTAAACTGCTGTTTTTGGAATAGTATTTTCTGACATTTTGTGAGAGAACTCAAAGGTTTTTCAGGTTAAGGCTAAATACTTGAAACTAAACACTGCTGGTGAATAGGCATGGACCTAAGTTTCTGACAGTATGATAACCTTGGATAAAAATACCACGGTTTCACTGTATTGTGATTACTGCTCAAAAAACGTAATAAAAAAAAAATTCCCCATTGAACAATTCATTTTATTTTAACAAACATTTATAATATTTTTGAACAGTAAACATGCCAGTCTAAATAGTTAAAATAAAAAAAAGACTTCTACTCTCTTAATTAGTTTTAAAAACACTGATTTCTCATTTTAAAAATCTTAAATACACCGTAGGAACAGTATAACAGGAAATTGTAGCAGTATAAAAACCTTCACTATTCTTATCCGTGGTAAACCTTGAAACCGGTTTTCATCCCATGCCTACTAGTGAATGTAAAATGGCCTCCTTAGATAAGGTCTGAAAGAAAGGAGGTCAACCTTTGCTTACCACAGATAATATGAATCGTCTCAGGTGTCTGTATATTGGCAGGTGAATCATTTCCTGCACAGGGTTGAAATCTGGATCATTCAGATTTCTGAGAAACCATAATACTCCAGGCCTCAGTACCTGAGAGATACAGGGATATATTTTTAGATCTCTCACATGTGAACGTAAAGCTCTTTTATGTGGTCAAACTGATAAAGTAATGCCCACCTCTCGAAGTAGAAGAATAAAAGATGCAAAATAGAAGACGTAGACCATCCCCACCAGCCAATGAAGAAACATAGTGGTACCTGGTGCTGACTCGAAACTCAACTCTCTGTCTTTTAATGAAGCATCAAACATTTCCTACAAAAAGGTAAACAAACATTCATAGTAACTTTCTGATAAATACTGAGGTAAATAAAATCTAAATTAAGTTTATTAAGGCTTTAATGATGCACCCATTAATTGTAACACTCATTAAGAAATATTTAAATGTAGAAATTGGGTTTAACATCTGCCACTGACATGAATGAGAATGCTAATAAACAGCATTCTCCAGATGCTACAGACCTCAGAAGGCCAAAATTAACAAAAATCATTCAGCACATCTTAAACAAGTGGAAATAAAATACCAAAGAGCAGATATCAAGCCACCAGCCGCAGATGAGGGGGAACACACCAATCTCTACGACTACTAGAAGAGACACCTGGAAGAAACCGAAGATGATCATTTAAAAAGAAACCCAATAAAGACATCCATGATTAAGAATAAACTAGCCGGAAGTATAACCACATACACAGCATATATGTGTATTAGGTGTATTAGGTCAACGCCTGTAATCTAAGCTTAGATAATGGAACCTAATTATAGCATTAGCGAGATTGAAAACACAGCATTAGAGTAAATCCTGAAGACCTTATGCAAAACCAGTTGATGCAATAAATGTTCCGCATCAGTATTAAGTTGTTATTTTTATGATTACTCAACTTGTTTAGCAAACCTGTCGTTAAAGAACAGAACATGCTTACAACGAATACACAGTAACTGACCTTTACAACTATGTAGCAAACGCCTAACAAGCGGCGTGATCTTTGAAATCTCACCAGCGCTGCTAATCCCTGAGATCTGAATTAAGGAAAGGAACATCAAGGTCTGTATTACAGAAACATCCCATCTTGTGTTTTAAAAGGTCACAAAGCTCTGAAGTTTCCAAGCATCTAACAGAACTCATAATTTGCATAACTCAAAAGACATACATTGTAGGAATTTTTTTTTTTTTAAGGTTTTGGAATTATTCCACATTTCCAGGTCTTAACGTCTAAATTAAGTAAACATCAAATAGATGTAGTCATTTGTTGAAACACCTGAGTTTCATAATAATTTAATCATGACACTGCTTGTCTTCATCTAATGAGAAGATGCTTTGGTAGACTTCATTATTTACAAAAGAAGCACCTATATGGATTTTAGGACGATAGCGATAACAGATAACGTTTAAGATTTGGAGGCCGATAACTGATAAATTATAGCGGATAAATGTAAATATTTTAAAATGTTGTATTTTAATAGAGTTAACAACTGATTTCATTTTAAAAACTACATAAAAGTTTAACTGACTTTTAATAGCTTATTTAAAGCAAAAAAAGCAATAATTTCAAAATTGCAAGGTGATAATATAGACTTATTCACGATTACACATAAATCAGCATGCCAAGAATAAATTTCTTTTCTTCGTAGTAAATTAACAAGCAACTTTACTGTTGCATGAAAATAAGTTAACAGGTTTAATAATAAATGGGATTTAAATAACAAACAATACAAAATAAATATATTTTTTAAATAAATGAAAATGAAAGAGCTAAGCCAGAGCTAAACCTGCTTAAATGTTCTTGAATAAAACGTGTTACAGTAATGTACATGTGTACAAACACGTAATGCCCGAAAAAGCAACAGTTTTAACAGTTCAGAGCCACCGTACAAGCAAGAAGCTAAATAGAGTTAGTATAACTTCAGAGAATGCTGCATAAATTCGTCTCATTTGTCGTTTTAGATTTTTTTTTGCACATGTAGGTGCTGCTTGTCAATCAGATGATGCTTCTATGTTCATTCTTGCAGTCAACTGTGGGAAAAATGATCAACGAAAGGTTTATGATAAACCACTGTGAGTTTAAAACTAACTGCAGGCGCTGTGTGATTGTGGATTTTTGTGGAAGTGGATTTTGTTGTTTCTGGATTAAAATATTGATACAACTTAGTAATGGGCACAGATGACTTTGACAAACACAATACATAACGTAAAGACAGAATGTGGCGGACAGTTCTGTACAATTATGTAATCTATGGGCTTAAAGATATCGTCCTAATTTTGATATCAGATCGATAGCTATAACATTAAAAATATCGTTTAACCGCCGATAATGATATGGCCGCTGATACATCGTGCATCCCTATTCACAAAAGTATGATTTTCTCAAACGCATTTCAGATTGTGAGGTTTTGTTTTTTTTTTCCAAACTGGTGAGAACCAATAAGACACTACAGATTCTATATACAAAATCTCTTACCAAAATGATTAATTATTAAACCGATGTGATTTTGACATTAGGTGTAGTCAAGCAAGCAGCATTTTGGCAAATAGGGTTCTTTACTATAAGGTTCCATTAGTTAATGTATTTACTAACATGAACAAACAATAAACAATACAATTAAATAAGTCACTTTAATAATTTTTGTTAACATGAATTAATGAAAATAAAGTTGTTCATGTCAACTCACAGTGGATTAACTAATATTAACTAATATTAAGTTATAATGCATTAGTAAATGTTGAATTATTATTAATAAATGCTGTGCAAGTAATGTTCATAATTAGTTCATGTTAGTAAATGCATTAATAAAAGTTCAATGAAAACTTATTGTTAAATGTGACAAAAACCAATGCGAAATAGGAAAATTCCCAAACATGAAAGTTCAAGTGTTGCCGACCATGAAAGGATACATGACACACAATGAGTGTGATGGCTAAGAGGACATATCCGACAATAGTGGTGATGAGCCCCTCAAAGTGTGAAGCACGAACCTGAAAAAAGAAGAGAGGTCTGCAATCACATTAAAACACTCAATTTATTAAAGAAACTAATGCAATACTTACATATTCTTCAAAACCAAGTCCAACCACTGAGAAGTGGCCAATGTGGTAGGGGCAGAAAGCTGAGAGGAAAATATTTTGGAGTTGAAATTTAGTCTTACAAGTTTACATTGGTAAAGTTTAATAAATGGTTTACTAATGGGTTACTGCACATTACTATATTTAAATTAGGGCTGCACAATATATCATTTCAGCATCGATAACACAATAGTCGCATTGCACGTATAAGCAATGTCGAGTCTGAGTTATAATTTATCACTTTGCAAGTGTTTTTTGAGGCATGTGATTGTGTCAAGGTTTTAAAAGCATTCTGGCACAAGGAAATGCACCATTTCTAATTTTGAAAAATTAATAACAATTCATTTTATTGAATTGTTTATAAAACAAAGATTATGCAGTATTATTTTACATTTGATTATTCAATTACTGTATAATAGAATACATTTCTAATCTTCAGAAAACAATAAAACGGTGTTTATATAATTTGCATACTTTCCTTTATTGAATTTCTCTATGCTTGTAGATTGTTTATGCTATGCACCCCCTATGAATCATCCCAATCAATCTAAAATTATAAATTCTTTCCCGTTTTTTCCACCTCCTCTGGAGAAATTTTATTCATACTGCAGAATAAAAAAAATGCAATGTGTAATTTTTACAATATCATGCAGCCCTAATTCAAATGGTAATATGGTTTAAACAAAAGTGTATTAATGCTTACCAAACACCAAAATGAAGAGAGTGTTGAGTGAGACCACCCAGAACACATGCTCCTAAAGCATAAAAAGGCAAATTTATTGATTTTCTGTTCTTCTGAATTAGATAATTATTGGCAACTCAGACAGTTGTGCCATTCTTACTTACCAGGAAAACCAGAGACCCATCAAGCCCAAGCATCTGTAAAGAGGAAGGAACAACTTTTTGGTTTCTCTAAAAAATTATGGTTTGTCATACAATTCAGTGGCATAGATACACATAGATATTCTTACCCTTTCCCAAGTGAGCTCTTCAGCTGCACGGTCCCATTCCAGAGCATTCCAGTTCATATCATCTGCAAAAAAACATACACAACGTTCCTATGGGTTCCTGCACCAGTCACAGTTCATTCTGTCTGTCTATTTATTTTCACACCACCGACTTATTTCAAGATCAACATAGACAAATACACATTAAATAATAATAACTTCAATAACAACTTCATATTTCAATAAAAGTTAATACAAAATAAAAATATATATACATATACACATTTAAACATTAGATATCATTATAAACATTAGATATTTCAGTTAAATAACTTAAAACTATTCCTAATTACTCCCTTCGAAATTCTAGATTTTTAAAAACATACTCATCCTAAATTTTTGCCCTTTGAGGAGATTCCTAATTAGTTTAAAGTATCATGTTGTACCTTGTGCTCCATTGTTAGCATCTGCCACATCTTCAGCTCCTCCATCATCCTCATCCTCATTATCAAGCTCCATCTCTTCAGCAGGATCAGCGGGGAGGTCAGGAGCCTCAGCAGCTGCAGCGTTTTCTGCTGGAGGTTCAGCCGGAGCTGGCATGGGCTGGTTCTCAGCACCACCATTACCCTGGCCAGGGGCCTGATGGATGAGATATTATATTAATGATAAAGAGAATTGTCCCCTATGACTGAGTCAACTTGTGGTAAAGCACTGGCATGAGAGAAAACTGAATCTGATTCAATCCAAGTGGAAACAAACAGCTATTCTGGTTAGAGAATGGTGTCCAGAGATTCAGGGGATAATGAGGGATTTGAGAATGACAGAAGGTCAGGCAGGCTACTGTGTTGAGCTCAAATCAAAATGATAATTATAGTAGGACGCAAAGTAAACAAAGCGGGTCACGGCGCAACCTCTTTAATTAGTCTCTGAAGAATATCAAGCTTCAGAAAGTTTAGCTGACATACGCAGCAACTAGAGTGTCATTCACACTGTGTATAAAAAAAAAAAAAAGTTGCTGGTGAAAAGGTTTATTAAGGAAGATTAGGCCACCTAAAAAGACTGTTCATTCTTTGGCCAAAAAATATTTTTTTTAATTCTGCACATCACAATAATGTACCAAACAATGATCTGCATGCACAAAAAAGGTTTATTTTCAATGCCATGCCAGTTTCGATGACTATTTACACAAAAATATATATCTAAATTAGCTTATTTCAAGCAAAAAAAAGACAGAATTAACATCACTGACCATGCATGGGTTTATTCTAACAAAAATATTGCTTAAATCGGTTTAAAAAAAAAGGGAATTTGGTTCTTTAGAGTAACACTTCCAGGTTATAACTTTTTACAGTGCAAATTGTATTGCTTTTCCTTTAAATACATTTACTCTATGATATTTAAGCCACTGCAGTCACACTACCATTTGCAATTTCAATTAATTAAACAAATATTCTACTTAATTCAAGATGTGAATGTTTTATTTGCTGAAATACAACAGGTAATACTTTAGTTCAAGTACCAATTCTGACTATTAACAAGTGGCTTCTAGTCCCACCTAGAATCTAAGCATGCAGAAATTCACTGATTTTACAGATTTTTAGCCCATCGTTGAGTCTATTTATGTACTTGTGTAACTTTTTACTTATTCAATTTTGAAATTTATTTCATTAATATTATTGTCAAATATGAAAATGCTCATATGAATTACTTACAATACAGTTTGTAAAGTATATTTTGTGTCTTAGATATTTTATATAAGTGACTTACTTTGTTTACCAATTAATGAACCAAGCTGCATTTGCATTGTAAAGATGAAATAAAAGTTAAAAAGCTACAGTTTTTTTTTTTTTACTTCATATACAAGTTTTTACTTATGATTCTCCCAAAATCTTTCTATATAAATCCACAGATTTTATTTTTCAAAATTCTGAGCAGAAATAGCAAAAAATGGCCTTACTTATTACCTGCCTATTATTAAGATACTGGCTGTTTAATAGAACATTTACACATTCTGCATGATCTTATTCTATATGTTAAACTACTTTAGCTTAAACTACTTTAATTTAACTACTATACATAAGCAGCAAATTAAGTGTTTATTGAAGCATAGTAAATGGTTTCTTAACAGCAGGAATTGTGCTGTAAAATATAGTATAAAAAAAAGATATGCACAAAATATAAATTGTGTTTAACACCATGCGATGCTTCTATGGCTTTTTTTCATGGCGAGTAAAATTAAGAAGCAAAATGGTTTCTGGAACACCAATTCAGCATAATAAAATGATGAAAGATCTTATGACACTGAAAACTGAAGTAATTCAGCTCTGCTTTGATGACGAGACTTCTTTTAAAGCCAATTTCAAACTTTTGCTGAAAGGTTTAAAGCTAGTAAATTAATGTAGCAATAACAAAGTAAAAGAAACTGTACAATAATAATAAAACAATTTGTTTAAATACTTAATCTAACAACTCAACTTTAATAGCTTGTCTATTAGACAATCTAAGTCCGTTTAAATTTGAAGCTGATCTGCATTCAGTCTGACGAAAGGAGGCGTTACACTGCATTGATATTTTACCTCATTGGGCGGTCCTGCGGCATTGGCAGGTTGCTGCTGGTTCTGCTCCAACCATAAAGGGGCTCCACCGTGAACAATCTGCTCCCGCAGCCACACCAGACTGATGAAGGCGCAGAGGGTGCAGGTCACCACAAAGCAGCCCTGCAGGCAGTCGGCCAACAAGTTCTCTCTGCAGAGGACGAGGATTCACTTATCATCACTACAGAAATATCTAACCATTACAATTCACCACGCAACCACATGTCCACAGCTAAACCCGGGACTGCAGTGAGGATTGAAATAACCCCTCATGGCCAGAGTTCACAATGAGCTGATCTGCAACGTAAATGAATATTTTAAGGAGAAAACCTGAGAGCTGTCCTGTCTGGTACGTACGTGGAGAGCATGTCTAATGGCAGAGTCAGGAGCGAGCTTACAGATCCAGTGAACAGACACTTATAGATGCGACCTGCAGGAAAAGGTGAACATTATATGAGTAACACAGCATGCAATGCACAAAACACAGATAGACTGCGGCTTTTCAGCATCACTTACATGCTGTTAATGGTACAACCCCCAGCCAAGCAAAGGCAACAAGCGTGTAATGAAACCAGTATCGGATTGCTGTGCCTATACTGGTGACCAGTCCTGCGAAAATGTCCTGCACTGGGAGCCGTGAAGGCATGTCTGGAGAGTAGACTGAAATGAGAAGAGAAAAGGACTTAGAATTAATCACAGGTGAACATTTTAGTAAGAAAAGTGTAACATTCAGTATTGAGAACTGGGGATTTTCGATTTAAGATGCTCAAGATCCTTCGCAAACTACTGGAGTGCAGACTTATTAGGATTATCGAGTTATTTTCACAGTTGTTCAATGTGTATCTTGCTATCAAATCATGGCTCTGAAATGGCACAAGCCGTAACTCTACAAATAGAAACACGGAAGAGGCAGAAGCGTCTCAATTATCTCATCAAAGACCTCAGAATCAAAGCAACAATTACTGTCTGCATAAACACAGATGGGAAGCAAACAAACTGTTGACAATAGTGACTAATGCTGGGTTCACACAAATGCGGAGCACCAGGTTGCTTGCTCTAGTTTGTTTTTCACCTAATTTTCCACTTGAGTTGAATTATTTTAAACATGAATGTCACAGATTCTCATAACTCGCTCTGTCCGATCGACATTTGTCTATGTTTGCATGTTTACATTGATGTAATCTATTCTCATGAATACTTCATTTTGCTTTCGGGTGGTAACCCAGCAAAAGATACTGCCTTACATGCTCCATGATTTGGATTAACAAAAACTGAATTCCAAGTTTTATAATACATAAACACTGAGCTTGCAATTTAAAATCAACAAAAACTTGAGGTTTAAATTTTTTACTTTTACATTTACAGATATCAAGGGTGTCAAAATGTATTGTTTCTTCAGCACACCGCCATGCAGACGTGGACAATTCAGTAAAGGATTAATAGATCATCACCGGTTGCAACGAACTGACGTCATTTATCTCATATGCGCTGTCACGGTACTATTCGAACGAGGCGAGGACAAGTAATTAAAATGCTACTACTTAAAACACAGACAACTGTGCACAATTCACTGTGAGCTTATTAGACAGTTTTCACTGACACTGAACAGCAGAACCAAGAGACACTATTTCACTGCTAGGGAGACCAAGAGACACTATTTCACTCTTAGGGTGCGCTCACACTATGCTATCCGAACTGTGCCTAGGCTCGTCTTCCGGTTCGTTTGACAAGTGTGAATGCTCTGAATTAGGTTCAGGTGTGATACAGTTGACTGGCTCTGGCCCAGTTGGAAGAGGTGTGCCAGAGAGCGGTTCGGTTGGGTTTTGGCACGGTATGCTTGCAGTGTGAGTGCAAAGCGTGCCTGGGCCCGAAACCAAAGACACGACATCACTTTAAAGAAAATGTTTTATTTGGATTTATTAGCCATTCTTACTTTTCAATGAACACAAACTGTCATAGTTTATTAAAGATGCAAACCCCTCGCAGCACGTCAGCTGCACCCTCAGCAGACCTCCTAATACTTGTTGCACGAGGATATTTATGATAATTTATGAGCTTCAAAAGTTGTGGATCTGTACGGCAAAATATTTAACTGCGTGTCACTGCATCCCATACGACTAAGAATAATACAAAATGATATAACTAAAGCAATCTCCACTGTGCTGAGTGAGAAAGCTTCTCTTCCTGTTAAACTGAACAGTCGGATCATCGATGACATTAGCAAGCTGCGGTTCGGAAGCAATGTAAGTGCAGGCCATCGGGGAAAAGGGGACAAGTGTACTGTGGCACGGTTTAAGGCAACTGTACATACTGTGAGTACCCCTCACTTTGGACCTTTGAACAGCTGGCATGTTTGTAAGGTAGCTTTTCCTCTTCTATTACGCTATTAAAGCGATACTTGTGGATCCTGACACGAGTGTGTCTGTAGAGCAAGTTTTCTCCACTGTGTCCATCACGAATCAGATGTACGCTTTGTTATGCACATATAGACTGTTCCTGCGCATTATAAAGTGTCCTTGTCACTCATTGGTGAACATTGCTCTGACATTTTAATTGTGTTTTCTTTGACCAGGTAAAATTAAAGGTACAGTGAGGTAATATGTCTGACTGCTTGTATTAAAAGACAAAATTGTATTACAAATAATATACTGTATAAACAAAATATATTAAAAAAAATTTAAATCAAGAATTGCTGTGCTGTGAAGAAAAATATATAATTGTGGATGGAAAGCATCGTCAATGCACCATAATGTACCAAGATATCGGATTAAACTGAATTGATGACATGATAATCGTAACCGAACCGTGAGACCAGTGTAGGTTCACACCCCTAATTAATCTTTGAACCAAAAAAAATTACATTTTTACTCGCCAAATATAACTTAAATACAGAGAAAATGAGCATTTCCAGGAGGTCTTCTAATTTTTAAACATCTGTATATTAATACGACTATAAAATTTGAATAAAAGAAAGTGTTTTACCACTAAAATATTTACAACAATAAATATTAACAACAAAATTATGTATTACTCATTCATTCATTCATTTTCTTGTCGGCTTAGTTCCTTTATTAATCTGGGGTCGCCACAGGGGAATGAACCGCCAACTTATTCAGCAAGTTTTTACGCAGCGGATGCCCTTCCAGCCGCAACCCATCGCTGGGAAACATCCACACACTCATACACTACGGACAATTTAGCTTACCCAATTCACCTGTACCGCATGTCTTTGGACTGTGGGGGAAACCGGAGTACCCGGAGGAAACCCACGCAAAGGCAGGGAGAACATACAAACTCCACACAGAAACGCCAACGGAGCCGAGGTTAGAACCAGCGACCCAGCAACCTTCTTGCTGTGAGGCGACAGCACTACCTACTGCGCCACTGCCTCGCCATGATGTATTACTACTGTGCTTTATTACTGTTGGAATGTTATGGAAAACGATATCTGGAAAATACAGTGCCATAAATATTTTTCCTATTTACTATACCAGAATTCATTGCTGGTTTTTGGTTTTTCTGCAATTTTAACAGAAAAATGCAGAATATCCACAATACTTAATCTTTTTAGTTGTCGACAGCCAATTTCTAAAATTTTACATCCTGAATTGCAGTGTTGCTTTAAAAACCTTCAGTATAAAAACACAGGATGACGAGCCTCATTCTACTTGCAGCAAATACATCTAAACAGGGGCGGACTGGCCTTCTGGCAATTCTGGCAAATGCCAGAAGGGCCGGACCATTTTTTAAATGTGGGCCGGTCAGTTTTTTTTTTTTTTTTTTTTTATATGTATTGTTTTTACATGCTTTTACAAGCTTTTATCTCTTACAAGATGTGATATTATGATGATATAATAACAATAATAATAATAATAATAATAATAATAATAATAATAATAATAATAATAAATGTTGCGCATTTGGTCCAATCGGCGACGGCCGGCTGGTTTCGAGAGGGGCTGACCCAATCTGAGGTTATGCGGACGTAATCAAAATCTAGCAAGAATGTAAAACAAACCATAAGTGCCACACAAGCTATTTGTCAGAGATGTACCGTAAAAAGAAAAGGCGGTGCCGAAAAGCTCAGAGAAAGAGCGCAAAAGGGCTCTAAAATCAGACGCTGCCAAATGCATATTACTGAAATATTCTGGAACATTCGGCTGCTGCGTCAGAGGACAGTAGCGCGGTAGAGGAGGTAAGAAAACAGAAAATGTAATCTCAGTCATTATACTAAAACATACCAAGTAAATGTCTCTCCATTCACGCTACTTCTGACAGTTTGTGACAGTGCATTAAACACAGTGACGACATTGTGTTTAACAGTTGTCAGCTTAGCGTAGAACTCCCGCACATTTGAATATGTCATTATCAGCAGATAACGTGATTTCTGGTATACAGACTGCTGTATGCTACTAGGCATATATTCTAACATGCAAAAGAACCTAAAGCTATAGCCACAGTACTGTATGCATTTGTTGTGAACTCTGAATACATAGCTAGTCTTTAAACTTATACATTAAATACATGCATAGGTTACAGTACATAATCATCTCATTGTCAGGGAAAATGAGATTCAATCTATCCAGAAAGTTTCCAACAAGTACTGAGTATGCAAGTGCTAGCAATCACTTTGGGTATCCTTGTGGGTTGGTGTGGTCTACAACAAATTAAAATAAACAAATTAAGGAATCAGAAAAAAAATAATACAAATAAAGATACTAAAACACTTCCATGAACAATCAACAAGGGGTATGAGATCACCGGTTGCCAGAAACTCTTCAAAATAGAAGCTCATGTGAGCCATTTTAACACTGTGGCTCTATTTAAAAATGAATTAACCCTTATGATAGGAGCCTGTGAATGTGTATCAAACACACACACACACACACAACCCTTTACACACAAATAGAGGTGCAGCACTAGCAACACTTCAGCATGATTTCACAAATAACTATACATCATGAAGGATTAAAAATGTACAAATCTGCTGGTACACACAAATATTGCTGCTTTTTTAATTTTTGCTTTATATTCTATTCATTTCGGTGCTACTCTTATTACTTAATTGTATTAATTTGTAAACAGGGTTTCCGCAGGGTCTTAAAGTCTTAAATTAAAAAAATATATATATTAGGCCTTAAATAGTCTTGAGTTCACTGAAATATTGTGTTGTAGGTCTTAAATCATTTTAAACTGTTCTTAATTTCCCTCTATCCAAGTAAAGCTACCCAATCTGGCCAAATCATTTTTTTTTATTGCAAAGAGATTCAGTTTATAACAGCTGTTGCATTATTTTCAGCAAATTCTCCAAATTAAATTCTCTAATCATGGAAGGAAAAATAATGCAACACAACCCTTTACATGATATTCCATTAATACAAAAACTATTTACCAAAGTTACCAGACCATTAGAAAAAATCCTTTAAAAAAAGCCCTGTATAAGTCTAAAATTGTATTCTTAATGGTCTCAAAAGCGTCTTGAAATGTTTTAAATTTGATTTGAATAAACCTGCAGACCCCTGGTATTCAAATGTTCAGAGCAGTCAGTAAGAAAACATTTTGCTGCAATCTTAACATCCTATACTGTGTTTATTAACTAGGGTGTTGCCAATACCAGTGCTGTGAGAAAGGATGCTACGGTAGGCCTAGCAGAGACAAGGAGGAGTGTGGTAGAGGTAGAAAAAAAAAAAAAAACATTACACACTGTACTTTGGGTTAGTAGTTAACTCTACAGTAGAGGTGAACACATGACAAAAATGTAGTTAAGTCTACATAGTTACATTTGAACTTAACTGTAGAATAGGCCATAATTGTTAATATTTATTCTTTAGGTCACCTGTAATTGTTTCATAAGCACATATTTATTAAAAACTAGAATGAGTCAAGCCTAGCAAAAGCAGTTATTCAAATAATGATGACACAGTGACTGCAGAGACCAGCAAGAAGCATGGACACAATAAGAGTCAGGCAAGGGTGAGGAACAAGTATAATCTCAGACAGCCATACAGGCATATTAAAATTGCAGAGTTACAGAGTTAAAATGGATGAGAAAATGTAGAATCAGACAATGTGTTTACTGTCAACATAGAAACAAGGAGAAGCCAACATAGTCTATGGACCGTGGCAATAAAGAACAACACTTCAGAGAATGACAAGTATAGTTATTTGTGAATAAAAGTATGCTGAATGTAGTGCTGCATGTCCATTTGTGTGTAAAGGTGTGTGTGTGTGTGATACACATTCACAGGTTACTCCTATCATAAATAGCAGACAAATGGTAAACAGACAGCACACGGACTTTAAATTATTTTAATTTAGTTTTACTGTATGTATGAATTTGTTATAAACGGGTTGTTTTTCTTCCAGTCACATACATTAAATGTTTAAATATCTGTACACCAATATAAGTAGTAAATGTGCGTGTCTGTCGGTGTGGTCATGTGGGCTGGTGTGGCTACAGTGTCAGGGCTGAATTTTTGTCCCAGTCCGCCCCTGCATCTAAATAAATCACACTCATGTCAAACCAATTACACTACCCCATAATCACAATTTTTCACATTATTTCTACTTTTCATGCCATATCATATTAAGTTTAACAATAAAATGCAACGTCTTTACAAATAAAAAGACCTGTGTTTACATTTTTGTTTAGAAGCGATTGAAGAGCATTGCCAAAATCTAAATTAAAACCCTTTAGGATTCACTCTGGACCCACTGTGGGCGTAAAAAGTGTTTTTCACCTCAGCAAGTGTCTACGTCAGACAAACACGAGTGCGGTGCTTTCAGATCACATGACTCAACCCATAGAAGCCTATCGCTCTGAAGCACACAAACGCTGCTATTGAACAGGCTGGTCGAGGTCATTGTGACTGTATAGAGTCGTTCATAGCTTTACCTCCCCTGAAGAATGTAATGAGAATGGGTTACTTACTTGGCGTGAAAGCAAATCTGTGCTTGCATAATTCGCAGTATTCTTTTCTGCTGTGTTTAAGCCACTGCACCAAGCTGTGAAAACACAAGAGGGGGGCAGGAAGCGGGCGTTAGGATGGCGATCAGACATGCCTGAAACAGCACTGAAAATCCTGCTTCAGTTTCCCATTTCCACAAGGATGGAATAACAACCACTGGACTTTAATAGTTGGTTAGCGTTAAACTGACGAGGACCCCTGAGCTCATGAGTTACAGCTTGTCAGTTGGTCAAATGAACGTTGCTGGCTGTTTCCATTCAGCAATCGAAAAGAACAAACAAGGAAGACAAAGCCTAACAAAAATAACTGGCCCGATAGAAAGGTTAACCTACATCTCCCTATCAGAGGGAACAATCTGCTGTGCTGACAGACACTTCGTCTTAGAAAGAAAAGCCGAATTGTCAAAAAAAAATTGCTTTTTCTAATTTTATTTTTTTATTAATATGCTCAATTCTCATTCATTTCAATACAATAAAAGAGCTTCAGTCTTTTTCTTGCTACTATGACAGCAATTTAACAAGGTGTTTGGATCAATGTTTTTAAAATGATAGTTAACCCAAAAATAAAAATAAGTAATTTGCTCATACATAGGTATGTATGGGACGATAACCGTTTTCAAGGTATACTGTGTTTTGGAAAAGTCAAGGTTTTAAGAGTTAGATTTCCTTTTTTTTTTTTTTTTTTTTAGGACAACAATATCTCAAGAAGAAAAAATATCTAAAGATGCTGTTTAACATTGTAAAGAAATCTTTGATTTTGAAACAAATGATGACAGCAGAAGTCAGCAGTCCATTTGAATTACTTAGCTTATTACTTATGTTGACTGCTCCATAATATTTTACATCTTTCAAAAAAAAATATATATTGTTTTTAAAGGGGGAAATTTTTGTGTTTTTTACCCAAACAAACACTTAAAAAGAATATATTTTAGAGCAGTAATCACAATACCGTGAAACTGTGATATTTTTATCCAAGGTTATCATATCGTCAGATTCTTATACCGGCTCATGCCTATTCTCAGGTCATTCAAATGGCAGGTGTCTTTTTTCCTTACATTTTTCATTCCACTTAATAATCCCACAATATATCATGAGCAGTAGGGCTGCACAATATATTGTTTTAGAATTGATTTCGCAATGTGCGTATCCACAATAGTCTAATTGCAGGGTTACACAGGATTACGATATTATAGGCTAAAAAAGCACGGTTCAAAGCATACATGATTTTTTTTTTATTCATTCATTTATTCAAATTTTAACCATGATTTGATCAATTCATCTGCATGTGTTTTTAAAGCATGTGACTGTGTGAGCTATTCAAACCTTTTTAAATAATTAAGGCAAAATAAATTATATTTGTAATTTAAGAAAGATTAATTTCATTTATGTGCATATATGACGAAGATACACTATACACTGTTATTTTACATTTGATTACTCCTGGCAGGCAGTCCTTGCAGACTCCCAGACAACCATAAATTTTGATTTATTTTATTTGAATCTTTGTTCTTTTATATTAATCAATGCTTGTGATTGATTGATTGATTATATTTTATCGATTTCCTACAATTCATCTTATTGAATGTAAATTTTATGAATTCTTTCCAAATAGTGAAATTTATTTCTTCGCGTGAAATGTATATATATTTGTGTATATATAAATGTGTGTGTATATATATATATATATATATATATATATATATATATATATATATATATATATATAATTTTTTTTTGCGTATATAGTTTTTATATCAAAGCATTGGTCCACAAGTTTCAATAAAAATTATTTACTAAAAAAATTAACATGGATTTTTAATGTTTAAGGAGGATGCAACATTTTGGATGGCCTTTAATGACTTTTACTAGGACAATACACTATCAACATAACATGATGTACATGTGTAATAAAATCAAAGTCGATCGAATGCTTAGGTAAAAAAACTAAAATGTTAGAAAAGATTATTTAAATTGATAAAACACTTTCTACAAAAGTTTTCTGGGTCTATAAAGTTTGTCTGATAAAGAATATATAATACTTGATAAAGAATATTTAATAGCTGTCAGTTCAAATACAAAAGTTAGATCAACAATATGAACAGACTACCACGACCTTGTGTATTTAACTTGTTTGTGTCAATGTTTGTTAATCTAACATTGTACCCATTTGAGTAAATTAATTTAATGTTTGGGTAAACTATCCCTTTAAAAACACTTTTATTCATGTATAGGGTTTAGATTTAAAAAAAATGCTGCTCTTCTAACCTTTTTGTTTATAATCGTGAAAAACCTATAAGGCAACACACCAATTTTCAACATAGGCATTTGATAACAAATATTACTTGAGCAGAAAAATCTGTATATTAGACTACTTACTGAAGGATAATTTGCCAGCACATTGCAATTTAATTTAAACTGTAAAAATAATCCACAACATTACCGTTTTCACTGTTTTTCATTAAAATGACTTGACTTGACTTGAAAAGCTAAAATATCTTTTGAATTCACCAAGATTTTCACCAAATCAACTTAGTTATGCTTAGGCCTTGTTGACTTGCTAGAGCACAGCAAGTCATTTGTGACCATAAGATCTTACTCAAATTTTTATTTTATTTTATTTTTTTTTTTAAGGCTAGCAATCCCTTTTTTTTGCAACGGCTATTATTTTAATGCATTTTGGCAATTCCAGGACACCTAGAATTATCATCACTGCAGGACATTCAGCATTGATAACTGCTCAAATTACATTCATCTAAATTTTTATAGCAACCACCACAATAAAATAATAATAAAGTGCCTTTAGGCAAAAGCCATGTGTTGTTTATGACTTAAATATCCTGTTCCTGAGTTTAACAACAACAAACTCTAGCATGTTGACAGTCATTTCATACTGTTTGACCACCCCAAAAAACAGATTATAATAACAGTGAATTTGACAATAAACTAAGCTCTTACCATTCTTGGTGGATGAACTTAATACTTCCAGTACACACACAGGGATGGTAGAGGGGTTTGTCTTGGGTTCCCTCAGATCGACACACCCTACATATATCAGCTGCCAGAAAACATGCACAAAAAAAAAAACATTTTTAACAAAAGTATGTAGAATGCATCAAAATAAATGAGGATAAAAAGGATTGAAATTACCCCAACAACAAAAAATAGACTTGATTATGCTTTCTGATACTTAATATATGTTAATATCATATTCAGTATATACTAATATACAATCAAAAGGTTTTAATGCATGCAGGAGTATAGCTTGATTTCTCGTCAGTCCATATCTGGCTTATCTTAGAACTCTTGCTAAAATAATAGCAAAACTCTTAACTGGATTATAATGGATAACATCTGAAACAACTACAACTTTCACATGTCAAAAATCAATGAGATGTCATTGCAGGCAGTGTTTCAAACGTGGTATAAGTGATATCACTGATCTTATATATTACATTTATGCTATCGTATTTCAGGTGCGTTTAAACCTGGCCAGATTATCACAAACATCCGCTTCACATTACAACGGCTAACGTTACAGTTAAGCTAACAAGAATAATGTGATTTAGAAAATATAAATGGCATCTCATGAATTCAAAATGAAGTTCCAACGCAAATGAGTGTCTTTATTCGGACGTGCTAGGTGTAACGTTAGGTTATGACAGCTGTACTAAAGACCAAGCTGGCAGGAAAACATTAGCTTGTTAGCTTGCAAAGGCCAGATCAATTACAGATGCTGGTTTTGTTGATCGTAGCGTCCAAATCAAAACATAACGACAAATAAACTTCAGTCAAGAAACATTTAAAAAGCAAAAACGAGCAAACAGACAGCAGCCTGAAAGCCTCCGTGTCTAGACAGCTTACCTTCTTCGGCAGTGTCCATCTTGAACGGTGACGCACTGTCCTCTTTACAGTCAACACATAACACTCGCCGCGAAACAAAACACAATTATCAGCTCACAACCAGGCTAAAATACAGCATGACGACATCGATCCAAGCATGAACGCCGCATAACCCCGGACTGGAAGCCTTTTCTTTGTGTAGTGCTCGCGGATAGCGCTGATCCAGCTACTTGTTGGCCGACTACATTACTGCTCGGCTGAACATGTTTGTGGCCTCTGGATGTGAATGTGCTGCTACGGTTTCGATTTACGGCAGTGCAGTGCGCGTGCGCAAAGAACGCGACACTTTCTGGTGTTTTCCGTTGGTGACTGGATGCGTTTAACATTCAGTACTTTTGTTTGGTATGCGCAGTTTATGTTCACGTATATTTAACTTCATTCATTATTATTTATTATATGAACATAATACGAATTTGCAATGTTTGTAGTTTACGTATACGTTAAGGGGGTGAGGCAGGGGACTTTGAATCCGGTCACACCAGGGCAAGTGGTTCAAACCAGTCATTGGTTCAAACACACATACACACCTTCCTTTTATCGTGATAGACATTTGCATGTGCTTATTTTTTGTTATAGGTTAGTTAGCAACAGTTTGAATGCTGGCATTTGATCCCTGTAGACTACTTAATCTGGTGGTGTGTCATCCTATAAGTATAGTTATTTATTTGTAAAAGGACTCAGAATAACATTGAGGATTTTCTGGGCTTGGAAATCAGGCTTATTTCACGAAATATTCATTTCTTTTAGAGTAAATATAAACTGTAAAATATGTATATATAAATAAATATAAATGTAGAATATAAGAAGAATGACAATTTAAGAAGTGTATACATCATGCATAATATTTTTATAATTCTTTTTCAAATATTTCCCATAAGAGCTGTCTAACTTTTTTCACATTTTAACATAATAGTTTTTATAAATAATTTATTTTGCTATTGCCATGATGACAAAACGTCATATCTGACCATTTACTAGATACTAAACTGCAATTTAATGGCTTAACCCTGTTAATTAAGTTATGTTAATTAGGGAAGTTATTTGACAACAATGGTTTGAGTATTTTCTCAATGGGGCTAATAATTTAGACCTTTTAAAAATATTTGTTTTTATTAACAACTGTATTATTTCCAGCTAAACTAAAAGAAATGAAACATTATCCAGAAGAAAAATATATAAAATACTGTGTAGTGTACTGACATTTAATCCCCACAATGTAAACTTGTTAATCTGTACTCTAGTATATTCATTTATTTGTAAAAGGACAACTTGTCAGAATAACATTGAGGATTTTCTGTGATTGAAAATCAGGCTTATTTCATGAAACATTTCTTTCTTTTAAAGGGAATATAAACTATGTAATATATATATATATATATATATATATATATATATATATATATATATATATATATATATATATATTGTCAGCAAATTATTTTTATATTCAAATAATTCATATATTAGACTATAAGAAGTTTATAGAATCATTTGTTCATTCATTTTCTTTTGGCTTTGTCCTGCCAACTTATCCAGCATATGTTTTATGCAGCAGATGCCCTTCCAGCTGCAACCCATCTCTGAGAAACATCCAAACACACTCATAGACACATACTTTAACCTACGGAAAATTAAGCTTATCCAATTTACCTATAGCACTTGTCTTTGGACTGTGGGAGGAACTGGCGCACCCAGAGGAAACCCACGCCAACATGGGGAAAACATGCAAACTCCACGCAGAAATGCCAACTGACCCAGCCGAGGCTCGAACCAGCAACCTTCTTGCTGTGAAGCGATTGTGCTACCCACTGCGCCACCATGACACCCTGTGTATAGTATCATGTAAAATATTTTTATAATCCTTTTTTAATATTCCCCAAGAACTTTTTTTTGTTTAACTTTTTTCACATTTTTAACAGAATAGTTTTATAAGTTATTTATTTTGTCTTTGTTATGATGACAATACATCATATTTAACCAGTAGAAGATACTAAACTTCAATTTATTGGCTTCACTTGGTTAATTCGTTTAGTTATGTTAAACGGGCAAGTTATTTGACAACGGTTTGTTCAGTAGCCAATCAAAAAAGAAATGTTTTCTTAACGGGGCTAATAATTTTGACCTTTAAAAATATTGGTTTTTATTAAGAACTGTATTAATACTAACTAAACTAAAAGAAATAAAAGGAAATAATAAATATAATTAAATTGACAAATTCTGACCATCGATCCCTACAATGTAGCCTTGTTAGCTGTTGGTGTGTCAGGTTAGTGGTGTATTTTTGTATAATTTTTTTGTAAAATGACAATTCATCAGAACAACGAATGTTTTCATTTTCTGCGATTGAAAATCAGGCTTATTTCGCAATTTTTAAAATTTCTTTTGAAGTGAATATAAAAAATGTTGTATGCTTATTATTTTATTTTTAATTAAATAAATGCTCCTTATTAGAGCATTTTTATTTTTATTATATAAGTTTTCATAATTACTTTATTTAGTTTTTGCCATGATGAGAGTTATTTTGTTGGATAATTATACTAGCATTCAGGTAAGTGCAATTTAATGGCTTAACTTGGTTAATAGGCAAGTCATTAGACAACAATGGTTTGTTCTGTAGCCACACAGCAAAATATGGGGACCCAAAACAACTCTATGGGTGTTAATTTCAACACTTTGAAAGTGTCTCATGGGGTCCACTCAAAACAAAGTTAAATCAACACTTTCAAAAGGGTTGGCACATTGACACCGAAGTAAGGGTTAATTTTAACTCTAGGCAGAGTTAAAAAATGTAACTATATTTAACACCGCCTGGTGTAATATATTTATTTTATTCAACTCTCTTGAGTGTAAATATGGTAAAAAGGTCAAATAGACTGTAAATTACAAAAGGAAAAAAACATTTTATTTGAAAACATTCACCACTTCAACAATTCATTCAGTTTTTAAAATGCAACAATGTCAAATATGCTTTAAATGTTTTATTAGTACAGACAGTATCAACAAAATATGTATGACCAGTGCTCAAAAAGGCTGTTTCAGTCCTTTGGTCCAAACTTGATGTGTTATCAGAGCAATTTGAAAGTTCAATATATCATCACTCATAGTTTACTTCTGAACTCATAGTTTTCTTCTGAAATTACATTTTAAACAACTTGGCTTGCAAATCTTTCACTTCGGGTGTTTCCTTGGTCCTCCATATCAAACACAGCAGTTTAAATGAAGGTATAAATGCTGTAAACTTGTGTGAAAACAAACTGGAGCTAGGAAATCTCATCAAGCATGTCCTGTGAATGAAGTGCTTCCCAGCCACAGGATGACCTTTTTATCCATGACGATGTAGCAGCTGCTGATCGCTCGTCTGGTGGTTCCTGATGCACGGATATAGGGTGATGCTCATCTAAGAACTCTTCAAGACTCCAGCATGACTAAGAAAAATGATTGAAAACAAATTGCAATCAAATTCTATGATATATTTAAAAGAATATTTAAAGTAAATAAAACATTCAAGAAATCTAAACTCACCTTTTGAAAATCTACATGATGATCCACAACTTGACTCTCCCAGCTGGTTGAGGTGACAGGATATGGAAAAGTAGAAAAAACACATACATCACTGTTGGATCTCCAAAAACAATTAGGTTAACCACTATGACTAGAACTGGAAAAACAGGCAGCTGTCTGTCCAGAATCCTGAATTTAACACAACACTTGGAGCAAAATTTAGAGGAGCTTAAAATCTTTTATATCATTTAGTGATGCTGACTTCCCCAAAATATTGGCCACAGTGTAAAAAATATTCATAAACTTCATAAACAACAGTTTTCTGTAAGCGTGTGCGTGCGTGCGTGCGTGTGTGCGCGCGTGCGTGTTTCTTTACCAGATTCAACTTGTTAGGCCCTTTCAGGTCCAGTATTGACGCCACCTTTACTAAAAAGGTTAACAACTTTAAATCTAAAATATTAGGATAAGCAGAAGAGGAAAAGTGCAAAGTAAAGAGCAAAACATTATTTAAGTAACAGTTCACCCACAATACAAAACTTATCACCTTCATGTCATTTGTTATTCTCTAATGCTCTAATACCCTCTCAGCTTATTGTGAAACAAATACAGAACTTTATCAAACATACCTTCATTATTATCACCACATATAACCAAGAAGGTGTGCTTGGTCATTTCACCAACTCTGGAAATACACCATCCGTCTCTAATCAGCCACTGTCACAGGGTCTTGTGTTATTGTATAGAGAACTGTGGCTGTTGAAAAAACAACAAAAAATTAGTATCTAACACATATGCATAACCTTCAGATAAAAAGGAGAGATGAACATCACAAAGTATGCCTCACACTTTTTCAGATATCTTTTGATTCAGATGTTGATTATTGATAATAAATCTACAAATCAAACCTGTTCCTGACTACAGAAATAGCCTACTATTTACTATAATAACTTACTAACGTCAGACATCCCGAGTTGGAAAAAGTAATTTTCGGGGGATACAGAGTTGATTTGCGGGAGGTAGCGGGAGAGATGAGAACCTGAAGAGCAATGGGATGAGTTGCGCGCGACGTACCTAAAGAGCTGGGAGGGATGCGGTGGAGAGGGGTGTGCAAAGTGTTTAATGACCGGGCGGGAGACGCGCGATTTCCGGGAGATTATCATTCATTTGCGGGCATCTAAGTTACTTGGGCATCTGGGAGTCTCTGTGCATTTGCGGGATAACGTTAACGTTAGTCCCGCAACTTCCGGGCGACTTTTGTAACCTTAAATGTCTGAGAAAGTGCAAACGCGGTCATTTAAAGACATTAATGTTAACATTCCGACTTTAATGGTTGTCAACGCTTAATATAATTCAAGCGTACGTTATAACGCGAGTCTATGAACTAACGGTATATGGACGGCGACGAATGAACCAGTTTAAAAGGGCCGCGGTGTTTAAAATAACCAAATTAACGTACACGAATAACAAACAATCATATGTTTTAGTCAGGAAGCCTTTTACAAGTAAGCATATGTTCATTTACTCACCAGACATGTTTTAGAAACTCTCCAGAGCTAATGGAAACCGTCCTGTGTTGCCGTTAGCATCCGGGCAGAGTAGGCTAGGCTGCTCCGGGGATTCCCTCACTAGTTTGCTTCGAATTAAAGGAGAAGTGTCGATTTTATTTTACAGATGGGTAACAACGCACAAAATGGCATTAAGCGTGACAGAAATGTGTTGAACATGTACATTTGATGTTTTTATGCACTTTGTATGCGTGAGCATTTATAAAAACATTCTTGAAAAGAAGTGAATAGTAATGCAGTTAAGCTAGATACACAAACGACCATGAATGAACCGCAGAAGATTAAAATTGTCACTCCATTCTAAAGTTATTAATTTAACAATATGTTTACAACTGTATTTCCTTAAAGAAAGTCAGTAAAATACCTAAATTTAGGTAGACTCACCAGTTGCTGTTCTAAACCTCAGATGGAAAATGGCGTCTGGAAAATTCTTCAGTGACTGGGGCTGCATGAATTCCCGGATGTTGGAAATAACACCACCAAGTGTAGAAAAGATAACTCCTTGATTTCGCACTGAATAAAATCAATTCTAACTCTTATTATATTCATTTATCAAAATCTAACTCTTTAACGTCAACACTTTACTCTGAAATGCTTCAACACCGAGAATTTAACTCAGATGAATTTGCTGTGCAATCAGAAATAATTTCTTAAGGGTGTTAATAATATTGACCTTGAAAAGGTTTAATCATTAAAACAGCATTTATTCCAGCTAAACTAAAATACATTCTATAGAAAAAAAATAATATATATAGGAAATATTATGAAAATTCCCTTGTTCTAATAAACGGTGCTTGGAAAATCCAAATTATCAAACAAAAAGTGGTTCAGGGGTAATTAATGTGTCATTGCTCTTTGTGTAAGGGATACATGAAGATAAACAGCAAAATTATGAGTCCAAGGCACTCAAAAAAAAGTATAAAAATTATTCAAATTTTCACTCAAAGATCATATGACTCAATAGAATATATGAACAATATAGAAATAATATATTGAACACAAAGTCAACTCAATCATCATTATTAATTAGAATAGATTTTTGCCTTCAACTGTGTATGTAAGCCTAAATGAAATGAAAATACCCTTATTCAATTGTTTGTACAGTCTCAATTTTCTAACATGGCTGATCTTTTTTTTGATGGACAACCTAGAAAGAGGTCATGGACAATTTTTCAATCTCTGCATAATTTTCAGGTTGGTGCTCTTTCCTCTTCAGTTCACCCACTCATTTTATGTAGAGTTAAAGGTCAGCAAACTTGGATGGCATGGCTTCTGTGCTGTGACTTTTTTTTTTTGGTTGTTTTTGTTGATTTTAAAGTTTGTTTTGGATCATTTTCTTTCTAGATGATCCAACATTGGCCTATTAAAAGAATTACAACAGAATCAGTCAAGTTGATGTTATTTTGGTTGGTTGGTTTTTCATAGAATCCATACTGCCATGTAACTGTACTAATGTCCAGGACCAAAAACAGACTCACAACAACCAAGAATCAGCTCTCTATTTAACTGTGACCATTGAGTGCTTTATATCCCTGTATGTATCAAACTAATTCATTGGAATTATTCACTTTTATACTTTGCTGTAATCTTTCAAAGCATCAGGTTATACAAGTCAGCAAGATGATGCATCTTCATTCAGTTTTTAATAAGTACATGTCAGAATAAGGATGTTGTCATGTTGAATGACAATTTAATTCTATCTCATCCTTATTTAGGCATTACATGTAATGCATCTCTAAGATTATGATCAAATATACAAAATTCATTTAATTCTACAATACAAATTCCCCAAATACTTTTTTTAATAAGGAATATTATACTAAAACAGAGGACAGCCATATGTTAAATTCAAAATTGAATGTTACAAGCTTACATAACAGACAAATGTTGTGAAGAAAGAAGCAACTGGTGTTGTAGTTCACCGCTACTGAAGTGACACCTCTTGTCTTTCACTGTCTTTATCATTTCTAATGAGAAGTTTGAATGTTTTGGCATTATAGACCCAAACAGTGTCAATCCCTTCTCCAGCTACATCATTAGGAGTCCAAGTGGGAAAAGGAAAGCGACAAGCTACTACTTTGGCTGAACTCTGGAGCTCTGTTTGGAGTTTGACTTCAAGCTGCTCCATCTGTGGAGGAAACAATTACAATGTCTCTCAGGTGCATTATTACATGGATAAAAAAATTATAATATTAGTCGGTTAGTAAACATGCATACTTAAAAAATGTAGGATTTTTTTTTACATATAAAAAATTGGCTCTGGTGTTTAAACACTTGCATTTGTTTTTGTAAAATTAAAAAATGAATACAAATAACAAACTTTCATTTTTCTGCTTCTAGATTTTTATACTAATATTAAAAATTAAAAACAATACCATTTGAGGTACCCCAAAGATGACCACGTTGGTGTACTCTGAAAAACTGACCTATGAAAGAAGAACATGTTAAACATGTGTAAATTAATACAAATTAATAAAACATGCTGCATTTTGTCACAATGCAAATATTTTACAAAAACATGCTAAATTTTCTCACAACACTTGCAAATAGCTCGGAACACAAAGGAAATGTTTTGAGTAGACCCTAATCCGTGACACAACCGGCTATTTATGTTATGGTTGTTTAGGCTAACATGTTATGCTAATCTGTTAATTTAAACAAACAGAAAACTCACCTTTCAAAGATCACCTACAACTTCACTGAGTACAAGTCATGGCACAGAGGCATCCGTCATGTATTTATGTCTCTTTGCAGCATGTTTTCGTAAATTGTTTGCATAGTGGGAAAATGCAGCGCCTTTTTTATACGTGTATGCGTTGTGAAGATTTGAAGCACATGTGCTGTCAAATGGATGAAGATATTTTACTAATTCAGTGGCATCTTTTGTAATTGCATGTGTTTTCTTGAACTGCAGCACGTTAAGCTCTATCTGCCACCATACTCGAGACACCATGGCTTTTGTGCATACAGCTATGGCAAAATTAAAAAACCACTAGAAATTGATTTCACTGGATTTTCCCTGTGTATTAATTATAGTTTATAACAGATATGGTATATAAAGATCAAAAAGTTTCTTTGAAATTTCAATTAAAAAAAAAAGCATTGTAATTTGGATAATTTATATTTGAAAATGACAATAAATTATTTTAGTACTACTGTATATCACTACTATTATTATGTACCTGACTGATTTCATTGGTGGTACAATATAAAAACCAGGGTTGTTCCAATGAATATTGACTTTTTAAAATTCTTAAGTATCATGTTGTCTTAATATAAATACAAATATAAATAAAATGAGTCTGCAAAAATGCTACGACTGACCAGTTCTCACCTTCCAAAGGTCTGAAATATAAAAAGATGTGGTGTGATGAACACCTTCCCTCCAGGCTTTGTAACGGGAGTACCACACCAGCCATGGGTTCAGTTCAAAGCCAACTGCCTTAAAGCCTCGTTTTGCAGCAGCAATCACCTTCACCAAAACAGACACAAGAAAACCAGCTTTTAGGACTGTGATGTTTATAAGGCACTGTATGTAGATGCACAACATCTAAATGAAAAAAGTCAAAATCAAGAAACTCACTATCCGTCCATCTCCGCTTCCGATATCCACCAGGGACCCTGATCTACCTTTTAAAACACTGAAAACATTTTCTAACTGTGTCCCGGTTGCGGGTACGAACGGAAGACAAACTTTCCTCAGTGCTGGTGCAACAAACGGACCGGTCACCGCATACAGAGCCACCAACGAGCCTCCCACGACACAAGTTGCAATAATACCCAGTCGTTTTTTAAAAGAACCTTCACCGGATGATCCATGCTTATAAGAGTCTGTGGACAAATCTGATTCTGTCATCTCAGACATGCTGGAATGAAAACCAGCAGTGACCTCCTCACTGAATGCACGCAGCTTTTTATACAGTTGTAATTAAAGCGGTCACACGAGTAAACAGCAAATCATTGTACTGATTTAATGGTGCAATCATGGCAATATACAAATTAATATATGGTCTATTTATTGCACTGATATTTTTAAAACTACCACAAAACGTCAACGGGTTTTTGACGAGACGATAGACATGTGAATCGGTGCACCTCGCTTTCGGTCCGACGACAGGATAAAAGAGCGACATTAGTTCCGCTTTCTGTGTCACTTATACAACAAGTATTAATTGATAAGAACATGACGAGACTTACAGATATATAACAAACATTGCTTCAATATTTTTAGGATTTTTTCTTTATTTGAATTCCTATAATACTTTAAAAGGAAAAACAGCTGTAACTATTTTGATGTTCCAGAGGGAGGCACTATTGTGCAAATGTAACTCTAAATGGCAAGCCATAGTAGTTTTAAATCATGTTTGTGTTTGCTATTGTACACAACATAAAAACATGATAAATTAATATAACATGCATGTATGAATGTCTGTGTGCCTCTATGTATGTGTTTTTATTGTTTACATCTTTCTTTAATGAATTATATAATATAATATAATAAATATAATAAATATAATAAATATAATATAATATAATATAATATAATATAATATAATGTAATATAGTTTTAATGAACCTGGCCATCGGGAAGGAGGCGAAGAACGACAAACTTTTAAATAATTTATTAATGAAAAATAAATCAAACAGAAGGCAGCTTCTCATGGAGACTGCCACCAAACTGAAATCAAAAGCAAACAAACAAAATATCCAGGCCTAGTCCTCTCTCGTCTTCCACTGCTGTCTCTCCTCATTTTATGATCAAGAGCTTCTCCGTGGGACTAGAGTCTGGTGCCTGAAATCACTCAAGCACCGACCTCGCTTTGTTCCCATGGCTCTCGACCTCCTCGCCCTACTCGCTACAATAATATAATGACATAATATAATAATGTCAATACAGTTTACTGTCTGTTATACATTGTCCAACATCCATTTTTTCTATCCTGCGTTCTGAAATGATTCCTCACAGCAAACATAATCAATCTGTAGCGTCAATTTTGCACTTAGCATGTCACAATAATATTTTAGTATTTATTTTTGTTAATGATATTTTATGTATGATATTTTTGTTCGAAAATAAATAAATCAAATCAAAATCAAATCAAAAATCAAATCAAATAAGAAAGACAAAAACTGTATTGACATCATCGGAGGAATAATCTGATCTCAAAAGCCATAAGTGGCTGTCTGTGAACACGTCAAACCAATGATCGCAGATCACAGATTTTAGCCTAGGATGTCAGGAATCTTCCCAAATTTGTCTCAGATGACAAACTTGTAGCTGAAATCTCAAAAAAAATTCTTTTTAAATTGAAGCAGCTACTTGCCACCGAAATATCAGTAAGCTTCATTTGGCAGCAGAAGGCAAAAGGGTAGAAGCACTGTGCTGTTACTGGATGATGCTGTTAAAATAAAACATTCTACTGAGTTCAAACTCTACAGCAGCTTTCATTGGTCAAAAAGTACCCAGCTGACATGTAAACCAACCAATCACAGTTCATTTTCTCAGAGTTATTCTTAGGCACTAGTCATCAAATAGACAAATTGGAGACTATATGTTTAGTCAATTATTCCTATAAATTTGATGACTAGTTAAAACATTGTTAAGCGTTTAAGAACTATTAACAGCTATCAATAATGCAGTTGAATGGGTAATACTGAGAACATTAAATGCTCATTCAGCTTGCCATACTCTGCTGCTGCTGCTCCTTCAGTTTTAAATGAGGTTTGTAATAAAGAAACACTACTTTTAAATAACGTTAAAATGTTATTATGATGAAGTTTTAGAAATGTTTATATGATTGAAATCACTGCTGGGAGCAAGGAAAGAGGAGACATGAAGTTTTAAAGGCGTATATATATATATATTTCTTTTTTAAAAGAGCACCTTTGCTTTACATAACATTGTGTAACAAAATAAGCAACTGTTTGCCATTTTATCAGTAATGTTATATGAGAAAGAAAAACTTGAACATGAAGGGTAACAAAGTGTAAGCACTGATTTTCCATACATAAACGCAACAAAAATACAAAATAAATGTATCATAACTGAACCACACAGTTCTAGGAGTGAGAAAAGTCTGTTCCACACTACAAAACACACAATGGTGAAAATAACCATAACAAGAATGACCTGTTTTATTATTTAAATAATATCTTCTGTCAAACAGCATAAAACAAACAAACAAACAAAAATACTTACATCAAGCATATGAAATAAAGCCCTAATACCACTTTTCAATATTAGGATCAGGTGTGCATCAAAATAGGATCAAAACATATGGATTAAATAAAACATAAAAAGAAAACTGACAATTAATATTAACAAACTGAAAGCATATCAGGCCAGTAGCCAAGGGGGTTTTGAGTGGTTCGAAAGACCCACCTGCATTGATAAAAGGTCCAGAATTTGTTCCGTACATTGAGCTTATTTGTCCCAATTTGCTAACTGTGGCATCATAAATAGTGAAATTAACCCATAAATGAGGCCTTCCGATGAATGCAAACAATTATTGTCAGAAGCTTCGCAAGAAAACGTACAATCTAACGTAAGTGAAGTCAACTTTTATTCTGGATCTTAAACTTTCCTCTTGACAGAAACAAATACCAATAAAAAAATTTGAAGCACCAAAACCAGCCTATATTAAAGCTAAATTTGTAAGGGCATCTATGATGAAAATCATATTTTGTGAGCTGTTTGGACAGAACAATGTGTGTCCACAGTCATATTGGGGTGTTTTAAAGACAATAAGTCTCTGTTTTTTAAAATTTCCTGAAGTTAAAATAGGATCCAAATCCCTCCCATTTTGAGGCTGACCGCAACATGACATAGGACGTTTCCCTGCCCACCGAATTGATTGACAGCCATGTATTAACATGCCTTCGTAGTAACGCATATGATCATATCAACAGGACAACAAGACAGGACGTGCGCAGAGCAACCAGTATTAAAAGATCTGGGGGATGGGGTTAGTACGATTCCAAGGGCCCATACATTTAGGGGGCCCATAGAGACATTATCAAGGGCCCGCGCCAAAGGGTGTTTTAAGCTGAAACTTTACTGACACATTCTGGAAACACAAAAGACTTCTCTTAATTCTTGAAAAAGGGGTAAAATAGGTGCCCTTTAATACCAATTAGGCTATTTTTGCTATCAATAAACTTTCAAAATGTACTTTTTTTTTTTTTTTTTTACAAAAAGGGACTAGTTTCCCAAAGATGGGTTGTGGCCGGAAGGGCATCTGCTGCGTGAAAACATGCTGGATAAGTTGACGGTTCATACCGCTCTGGCGACCCCGAATTAATACAGGGACTAAGCCGAAAAGAAAATTAATGAATGATGAAAAAGGTACTAAAAAGATTGTGAAGCTCTACAATATTATTTTGTTTTTTTTATTATTCAAATGGCCAAATTCTGACAGAGAGAAGTCGAATGTGCTGGCCAGTTTGTTATTTGCCAAATCAATGACAATAGGCTTCTTTTTTATTTAAAACTTTGACTCCATTTTGTTAATGATATATGATGTAATACATTTGTTTTTTAAAAACAGGCATTTTTTAATTTCATTATTCTAAACATTTAGAAAGTGTTTTTGATGCCTCAAAAAGGGTGGTTAAGATGACCACTCGAAAAGCTAATCCAGCTAAACATTCATTCATTCATTCATTCATTCATTCATTCATTCATTCATTCATTCATTTTCTTTTCGGCTTAATCCCTTTATTAATCTGGGGTCGCCACAGTGGAATGAACTGCATCCAGCTAAACAATAGAGCTTAAAATTTCACTAAAATGCAGTTTTTAAACCTTAGAATTAAAAAGAAATTAAGGCGAATAACTGCAAAAAGGTCCAGTTTTTGAGAAAAAAAGAACCACACATTTCACCAGGCTGGTTACGGGCCTGATATGGTGATGATATTTCCTTATGGATGCAAACTGATGAAAACTAAATAAGGAAATTTTATCTGTCAACAAACATAAACCAAGAGCAAGTCTACAAGTAGAACAAAGACAAAAACGTCCTTCACTGTGCATGTGCGACCATCAAAAGTCATTGGATATTGAGCGATGCACAGTTCTATCCATTGATCGGCCACGGCTGGTGGTGGGACCGTCATAAAACTCATCATCCAGGTCACACTCTTCAGCCCCGTCATGCGAGTAGCTGTGTTTCATCACTACGATGTTCCTACGAACATTTGGGGTTGCTTGCAAAGGGAAAGGGGTTTGTGTGGAAGTCTCCATTTCGGAGAGAATGGCTGCAGCATCTCGCAGGCTGAGGTCACTGCGACTGCCTCGAGTGCTGGACACCTGAGAGCCACAGTGGTGGCCGTGGATGCATTTGGAGGACGTGCGCTGGAGGTTGGGGAAGTCCTCTGGTAAATCCTCATTATCGCATGAGGTCGTCTGTCGTAATGTGCAAAGTTCGTAATGTGGCGGTTCAAAGGCCTCGTGAAGCAAAGTGGGGTCGAATTCGTCCCTACGGATGATGTACCTCTTGCGTGGCTGTTTTATCTGAATGATTATGGACACGGTGAGCAGGATGAGGACCACTCCGCAGGTCACGCCAATTATGGTCACATTGGTGTTGTCAAGGCTGTCCAGGATCGTGGCTTTTCTTTTCTCTGCGCAAGAGGAGCAGAAATACTGTCTGTGGCACAGTGTTTTGAAAATTAAACTTACAGATACATTATTTATTATACAATAAGGATATTTTCACCACTTTTACATGTTAACATACCATGGCTGCAGCAGATGCAATGATATTACACAGATTCTAACTGGTGGTGCAAGTCAGGGTTTCTGCAGGTTTCATCAAGTCAAATTTAAGACTTTTAAAGACTTTTATAAGAGCATTAGGAACGAAATGGATACAATTGCATCATTAAACTAAATTAATGTAGTGGAAACCATTTTTACATTCTTCATCACTAAAAATCTAATTTGGTCATTCTTAGCAACATATTTTGAATAATGTGTCAAAACAAGTAAACTACAGTTCTTTATACACTTATTTTTCACCATAAAGTTAATTTTTTTAATGGACAACTTTAACATTGTTAAAAGTATATTTATTATGGATTCGGTGTGAATAATCAAAAATATATATTTGCTGACTTTGGTCCAAATGGATTGCGTATATAACCCCTATAAAACCTGATTATTAGCCCCCCTTTTATTTTTATTTTTAAAGTATTTCCCAAATGATGTTTAACAGAGTAAAGAAATTTTCACAGTATGTCTGATAATATTTTTTCTTCTGGAGAAAGTCTTATTTGTTTTATTTTGGCTAGAATAAAAGCAGTTTTTAATTTTTTTAAAGACATTTTAATGGCAAAATTATTAGCCCCTTTAAGCTATATATTTGTCTACAGAACAAACCATCATAATACAATAACTTGCCTAATTACCCTATCCTGCCTAGTTAACCTAATTAACCTAGTTAAGCCTTTAAATGTCACTTTAAGCTGTATAGAAGTGTCTTGAAAAATATCTAGTCAAATATTATTGACTGTCATCATGGCAAAGATAAAATAAATCAGTTATTAGAAATGAGTTATTAAAACTATTAGGTTTAGAAATGTGTTGAAAAAATCTTCTCTCCGTTAAACAGAAATTGGGGAAAAATAAACAAAAAGGCTAATAATTCATGAGGGCTAATAATTCTGTCTTCAACTGTATATAAAACAGTTTTTATATCAGTAAAAAAAGTTTCATGCATATTTATAAATACTATGACCCGCTTTCTTCTGTAAATAGTTTTTGCATAAATGTAAGATAATGTAAAGGGAAATATTGCTCTGTGATTATCATGAGAAATTGTGTAATTCGTTTTCCTTGATTTGGGAATCTAATTTGGACAATTTGCTGTAAATACTTAAATACAAAATGAGTTATACTGAGAATGATTGTTGGTGACTGGATGGGTGTCAGCCCAATTGGGTAACTTTGGACATTGGAAAATTAAAACCTTTTTAAAATTATTTAAGAACTACAACACAATATTTTGGTGAATTTAAGACTTTTTAAGACCTCAAATTGTGTTTTTGAAATGTATTTGCCTAGAAAATAGCAACTCTATCTGTCTTAGTACACAATGTAACAACAGAAGCCTTATACAGGAAAATTATCAAAACTCTTTGGTCATCTTTGAGCGAGATGCTACTGGTCTAATACAATTCAATGATCTATGGGTTAAACTACGCTAAGGCCCAATCCCAATTCTACTCCTTAGCCCTTCCCATTACTCCTACCCCTCGTTTTGCGTGTTCACGTGAAGAATTACCTGGTAGGGGTGTCTCAATTCTCTTTAGCTTAAATGCATAGGGCTAAAGTGAAGAGCTAGATAGCTATTAAAACAAGTTTTTAAAAACCACACTAGAAACCAAGTACGAATTTTTTTCAGAATACACCAGCTACAACAGCAACATGGCTGCTCACATGAAAATGGCATTCAAGTTTTATGGCCATGCTTTTAAAAACTTTGATATCTAAAATTCATAATAATATCTATTGTATAGAAGACCCACAACACACATTCACTTTCATCTGGCACTCAATGACACTCGGATACCCTGTCAGAAAAGTCTAGTGACTGGCAATTACAGTGTCTGGCATAATGTTAATGCTGTTTTTGTATGTTTACATAGATGAATATGGCCATGGTGTAATTGCACAGTACAGTTACAAGCTTATTGCCACATTATACCATTATTATACCTGAAGATAAATACCAAAAGATAATGCAACTGGAATAACTACAGCAGTCGCCATTGTCAATCTCATGAGAACATATGATAACATGTGTGGGTGTTGTAGTGGTGTTTCATTTCTTAGGGGTAAATTTGAAGTCCTTCTCCTTCACACTCTGTTTTAAAGGCCAAGGGAAAGGGGTAGGGGTAGAAGTAAAAAAACAGAATTGGGATTGGTCTAAAGAATTGAAAATAAATACTAAAACTCAACTGTTTATCTCTTAAGGATTTTAAAAACGAAATAAACAAAAGTGGAGTGTTACATTAACAAAAATCACATGCACAAAAGAAGGTTGTACAGTTTGGAATTAGCAAACATCATTTTAAAGACCGCTTGTTTATTTTTTCCCCAATTTCTGTTTAACTGGGAGAAGATTTTTTCAACACATTTCTAAACATAATAGTTTATATAACTCATTTCCAAGATGACAGTAAATAATATTTTACAAGATATTTTTCAAGACACTTCTATACAGCTTAAAGTGACATTTTGGAAAGAATTTTCTTGAACATGCTTACCTTAAGTAGCTTTGTAAATACATTTCTGCTCATTTATTTTCTTAATAATTCAATTTAGAATATATGAATTAGAAGATATACCTTTGCAGCCATTTTCATCCCAGGGATAGACACAGTTTTGGATGCCATTGCACACCAAAGTGTGGTTTATGCACATGTTGCTATGGCAAAAGAATGTGTCACTTCCACATGGAGCTGAAAAGCAAAAGGACACTATCTGTTAAAGTGACTCAGAACGGCTATGATCCAAATATAAAGGGAAGAAATAAATAGATAAGGAATATATCACGACGTCAATGCTAGAAAGCAAGCTATATGTGCTACAGAAATGTGTTAAATGAAAAAAAAAACCTGACTGAATGACTCACGCTCGTGGAAGGTGGTGAAGAGGATACGGAATCGGCTCCTGCGGCTCGTCTCATCGGCCCACATGCGAATCACACCTAATGAATTCAGCAGCATCACATCATTGGCCACCGTGCTGCAGAATTTATTCTTCAGGTGCTCCACCGAGCTGCTCCCGTCATACACCGCCACAAAGTTACGCTTACACTCATTCGAGTTCTGCATCTCGTAATCCAGGAAGCGCAAAAAGATCTGTACAGAAAGACATTTGTGTTTGTTTGAATTTTTTTTATATTTCTACGCAAGCAACAAGTCTGGGGTGGAACAGAAGACTTGTTTTTTTTTGTTGTAAACTATTTATTTGAGGAGAATTTTAATAAAAAAATAAAAATAAATAAAAACTTGAACATTACTAAATTTAATGTGTTTAAATTGAACTCATATAAATAATTTGCAACAATTTTGCAGACATTTTTTTCAGTGTACTGGACTGTTTTAGTTTAATTTGCATTTATTTGTAACTGAGATTATGATGATGGTAGAATAGATTTGTTTTTGCCAAGTAAATCATCACCAAGCAATTTTATGCTTAATAAATGTCTAATATTAAAAAGGCTGAATTTAGGTTGTCAGTAATAATCTTAAAATAGTCTATGTAGTCATTGTATGCATTCCTGTCTATTTGATGATTAGTCTATTTCTGGACTATTGTTAGATAGCTATCACTGACACCCCAAATTTAGGCTTGTTTTAGACAAGAAATCTATTAAAGAAAAAATTTGAATGAGTACTGAGAACACAAATTATTAGGAACACACTTCCAATGGATTTAAGGGGTGTAATAAATTATTCAACATTTAAATACACGTTAAGGAAAGGGCTAAAAGCAAATTAAGTTTGTAATCATGTGTAATTCTTTTGTCTAACATTTTAGGAAACGCTTATTACATGTTTTATCCCTTTGTCATATGTAACTTTACTGTTTTTGTATGTGTGATGATGACATGTTTTTTGACTTTAGGTTGCCTTTTAAAATCTGGCTGGGGGCAACAGATGGAAATTAGCCCTTGTGGCTAACTCTGGCTTATTTACAGTTCTACTGTTTATTACTGAGCATTGTCCCTGTTAAATAAAATAAATTCAAGTTTGAAATATTTATTTAGATGAATTCTGAGAGATCTCCGATTCTCCTTAAATATCGAGAGAACTAGAATACCAAACACATTGTAAAGACATTACATGTGTGTCTAGTCATTCAATCATATTGTTATGAAGATTATATTTGTTTCAGAAACCAGAAAAGTCAGAATGAGTTATTTTAAGCACATTGATTATTAATTTTATATGTACTTCATCTATTTCCTAGTACCAATCCACAGTGCTTGCATTTATTTGTGCAATAAATTGCTAATAAAAAATACAAACAATAAACTACATATTAGGCAGCTCAGTGGTTAGCACTGCCGCCTCACAGCAAGATGGTCGCTGGTTCCAACCCCAGCTGGGTCAGTTGGCATGTCTGTGTGGAGTTTTCATGATCTCCCTGTGTTTGTGTGGGTTTCCTCTGGGTGCTCGGGTTTCCCCCACAAGTCCAAAAACATGCGCTATAGGTGAACTGGGTAAGCTAAATTGTAAATTGTATGGGTGTGTGTCCTGGTCCTCTAGTTTGGCAGCTGAGCATTGGTTTAATCCCCATAAACATTGTGAGTGTGTTAATTTTGCTTTAGGTATAACATTGCTGTAAGTGTATCTGACAGATAAAAGTACACTTCTTTAGTCAGTTTATATAACCATGAGCATTTTGAGTTTGTACACTCAGAAAAAAAACTTTTAGCAAGAATTATTTTTGTGTGTTGACAGTGCACAAAATTGGTAAAAGATCAACAGATTCATTTTTGTAGTATGTGACTGAGGATTTACCTTAGAGCCAGGAGGAGCTCTGATGAACCACCTGCAGTCTACAGCCTCTGTCTGTAGTGCTTTGCCTTCTTTTGAAACCATGACGGACTCCACAATCCCCTCTGGCCCACTCATGTCAAACTCACAAACTACACCATGAAAACAAAGTAATGTATCATTGTGAACTAGTTTCGATATGCAGAGAAGATAAACTTATAAAACATTTAGCTCACTTGGAAGAGGTGGTTGAGCACCAAGGTCTTTGAATTCAGGATCTGTGAAACAAACAGAAAAAAAGTAATTAAGGATTTAAACTTGTCTGTTCACAAGATTAAAAAAAACAACAACTAATTTTATTTTCATATACAATACTTAACATAAAATATTGTCAAAAGGGGCTGACTTCTTGTTGGATCCTCACAGATTAGCATTAATTTAAAAGCTGGTCTATGCCATGATTACAAAAACCAAACAAAACAAGGGCTATCACAAATCATTTTTCTGTTGAAGATTGTAAAGTAGTTTCAAAGTAGTCATTCTCGTTAAACATTCAGCATACAAAATAGATTAGACCCAGCTATCAGGCATTGTTCTCAGAACATTCTGTGACATTTCTTAAAAGTTAAATGCAAATAGTGGCACATACACTGATTAAAATAATGTTGTAAGAACATTATTATTATTATTTTACAGTTTTTATTGAAGAAAAAAAACACTTGAAATTTATCATGAAAAATACACTTTTTTACGTTTTAACTCTTCCCCCTTCCCTCCCCCAAAGCATCCAAATTCAATTGAACAGAATTAAATTGAATTAAATATATTGTGATACATGGGCTAAAGCAAAAAAAAAAAAAAAAAAAAAAAAAAACACTGTATTCCTTATACAAAAATAAACATATACACATATCAATCAATTAACCAGTAGCGCGAGAGGTATTTGCTTTTGCCAATTTTGTTCCAAAAAACGCATAAACAGATCCCAAATTTTTTGGTACACCTTTAATTTGCCCTGTATACTGTAGGTGATTCTTTCCAGTGCACTTTAATGTGTCAAATCTTTCAGCCAGAAGACTTTCTATATTCTAGAGTACTATCAAACATCTTGCAATAACAAGACGGATGCAATCCCTTTAGTATTATTATTAAACTGCTAATGACAACGTTACAGGAAACAAACCCAATGCACATATTTCAGGTGTAACTGGAATTGGTTTGAAAATAATGGAAGAGAGTAATGTGATTACGTTTTGCCAGAAAATCTTAACTACTTTTTGGAACATTCTTGTAACATTGAGAGAAAAACATTTTTAGAACAATGTTCATGGAATGTCTTTAAAATGTTAGATGCTCTTGAGGAACGTTCTCATAATACTGATAGAAAAACATTCTTGGAACATTAATATAATGTGGATGGAATGTTCTGATAACATTTCTGAGAACTTTAATATAACATGAGACTGAAGCATTAGAAAAACATTTTTGAATAATGTGATTATTCAATCATTCATTCATTTTCTTGTCGGCTTAGTCCCTTTATTAATCCAGGGTCGCCACAGCGGAATGAACCGCCAACTTATCCAGCAAGTTTTTACGCAGCGAACGCCCTTCCAGCCACAACCCATCTCTGGGAAACATCCACACTCACATTCACACACACACTCATACACTACGGACAATTTAGCCTACCCAATTCACCTGTACCGCATGTCTTTGGACTGTAGGGGAAACTGGAGCACCCGGAGGAAACCCACGCGAAGGCAGGGAGAACATGCAAACTCCACACAGAAACGCCAACTGAGCCGAGGTTTGAACCTCCTTCTTGCTGTGAGGCGACAGCACTACCTACTGCGCCACTGCCTCGCCAATATTGTCATTAAAACCAAAAATATTCTCAGGCCCGAAGCCAGGGGTGGGGTTCGGGTGGTTTGAAAGACTTACCCCTCACTGACAAAGGTCCAGAATTTCTCCCATACGTCAGCTCATTTGTCCTGTTTTGACTGCTATGCCATCATAAATAGTAAAAATCTGATGCAGAAGAAATCGTCTTTCGCTACAGTATTGTTTTTAAATTGAGAAAATAATTGTCAAGTAACTTTTATTCTAAATATTGGACCTTATTCCTGAAAAAAAAAAACATGACCAATAAAAAATATGTGAAGCACCAAAAGTGGCCCATAATAAAATCAATTTGCTAACTATTTTGGCAACTGTTGTTATCCATGAATTTTCAAATGTTCTTTTTTTTTTTTACAAGAGAGGCTAGAAAAATCATGAAGCTCTAAAGTATCATAATTTGTGTTATTATTATTATTACTATTATTCATTTATTCATTCATTCGTTCTTTTCCTTTCAGCTTAGTCCCTTAATTAATCTGGGGTCGCCACAGGAATGAATCGCCAATTTATCCAGCAAATGTTTTACGCAGCGTATGCCCTTCCAGCTGTAACCCATCACTGGGAAACATCCATACACACACTTTCACATGCATACTCTACAGCCAATTTAGCTTATTCAATTCACCTGTACCACATGTCTTTGGACTTGTGGAGGAAACTGGAGCACCCGGAGGAAACCCACGCGAACACGGGAAAACATTCAAACTCCACACAGAAATGCCAACTGACCCAGCCGAGGCTCAAATCAATGACCTTCTTGCTGTGAGGCGATTGTGCTACCCACTGCGCCACTGTGACAGCGTATTATTATTGTCAAATTAAATCACTTTTATTGTCACATTATATATATATATATATATATATATATATATATATATATATATATATATATATATATATATAAATTATTATTATTATTATTATTATTATTATTGTTATTATTATGTTTTCATTTTTTTATTATTCAAATGGCCAAATTCTGACTGAGGAAAGTTAATTGTGCTGGCCTGTTTGTTATTTGCCTAATAAATAACAATAGGCTACAGTTTTTATTTAAAACATTTTCTAATGATTTATAATATTATGAGTTTGTATTTTAAAAATAAATATTTGTTATTTTTCTTTATTCCAAATATTTAGAAAATACGGGCCTGAATATTAGCACATAAACTAAAAACTGAGCGAATTGAATGTTATAAGAAAGAAAATGAAAGAATATTATATAATCTAACAGGAATGTTAAGGGAATATTTTTAGAGTTGAAATTGGTAGGTGGGCTTATACTACTATTTAAAAATTAGGGGTCAGTAACACTTGTTTCACTTGTTTAAAACAAAGTCTTGATAGAAATGCATAAATTTAAAATGAACACATTAAATTGGTTAAAGGGGCAACATATTGGTACAGTAGGTAGTAGGATCGCCTCACAGCAAGAAGGTCACTGGTTCAAACCTCAGCTGGATCAGTTTGCATTTCTGTGTGGAGTTTGCATGTTCTCCCCGTGTTCACGTGGGTTTCCTCAAGGTGCTCTGGTTTCCCCCACAGTTCAAAGACATGTACTATAGGTGAATTGGGTAAGCTAAAATTGACTGTAGTGTATGTGTGTAAATGAGTGTATGGATGTTTCCCAGTGATGGGTAGCAGCTGAAAGGGCATAAAACATATGCTGGATAAGTTGGTAGTTCATTCCGCTGTGGCGACAACAGATTAACAAAGGGACTAAGCCGAAAAGAAAATGAATGAATTAATTAAATTGATTAAAGTTAACAGTGAAAATATTTATGTTTTTATCATTGACTGTAGTCAGAAATGTTTCTTCTGCACCGAATCAGCATAATTGAATGATTTCAAGTCAATCATATGACAAAAAAGGAATAACAAAGTGTTTGTCATCACAGAAATAAATTAAATGTAGAAATGTACTAAAACTACAGCATTGATACAACTAAAGTAACATTTTACAACATTCCTGTTTTACTGTAATTTTGATCAAATAAATGCAGACTCGGTGGACACTATACCTTTCTTTAGCAACAAATATGACTGACCCCAAATTTCAGAACAAAACTGCATTATTCCAGACCAGGAACATTTCATATCCTTTAAATGATTTTAAAGATAAAGTTAAAATAAACATATGGTGTGCTGCTCTTACTGACCCTGAGGAACTTCTGTCCCAACGCAATCATTTTCTTTTAGCATAATAACTGAACCCCCCCAGGATTAGGGAATGAGAATGATGTCCTGAGGCTTGAGTCTGGATTGTGCATGGATTAATAATCCCTGCACCAGCCTCACACAGATTAGGCTGCCCAATGTGACAGGAAGTAAAGTAATAAGATCTAGGTGTGTTTTCAGGAGGCTGTCTGAACTTATTATTTTGCCCAGTATTTCAAGCTTGACCAGTTAATAGGCTCGGGCCAGTTGATCATTTCTACGTAGAACTAATCCATCATTTACAGAAATATTCAATATGACTTTTCAGAGTCCTTTTGGGTTTCAATCTAAAATCATTCTGGGATTCGCAGTAATCCCCTCGTGTTTTCTTACCTCTGGTACAGCTCGACTAAGATTAATATTTATACTGATGTAACAGCATGCATGGATGTAGGTCTCTGCCAAATCTCTGATTTATGATGTGCATGATGATATTGTACAGTATTTCATATCCAAGTGTAACTCAGAAATGACCTAAAATGGATTTGAATGTTTTAATAAAACTGTGTTTATTGTTTAAATAACATTCATATAGAGAGAACAAAGGTGGCTGAGCTTCTTCAGTGTGTAAATGTCATAGCATTGGTGATAATGCATGAATTTAGGGCACAATGAAAAATGCTAGGTTGTTAAATGGAGTAAGCACACACAATGCAACCCAAATTTGGGTGTAAATTCACTTTTCTGGTGTGTTAAATCCTTTCATTTTATTTTGAACCCAATATTTTGGGTTTTTCAGTATTTTACCCAAATTTGAGTTGCAATAATCCAGAATTGGTGTGTATGCTTATTTCAATAAAAGGAGATCATTTTATGCAGGTGCTTGGCAAAAATATGTTATTGCTGGTGCTTCTTACACAGAACCTTATTAGCAAGTCCTTGTCACAGAAGATTAGCATTCTTGTTGATTGTCTATTGGGAAGCTCTGATGAACACTTGCATAACCACTATTTAAGATAAACCTAACATCACGTAATCTTGAAGACCAGCCAAATTTTGTCAAGGCAGACATCACATATGTCTCAAACCTCAGTCGAGTAGTCAGAGAACATTGAATGAAGTAAAATATGTACTCCAAAATATTTTTTATAAAAGGCTATACACTTTTAATAATAAAGATTAGTTTTTGTCATCTGTTGGAAACCATAAACCCACAGAGTTATATAGGAAACCCTATCTCTTTGTAAAAGCTACTTTTGGAAGCTTTAATTTTGAGAGTGTAAATTTCAATAGGATTTGGCCAAGCTGAAGTAGAAGGACAGAGCTCAGGACATGGAGCAGACTGAGTGTGCTCTTCTGAAGACAAGCTTTCATTAACTGGGATCAGAGACATCACAAACCTCCCCCACTCAGCTGCTGCATGTGTGCTTGCACTACAAATGCAAGGGCATCTGACCTGAGCACAGAACACCACATTTACCAAAACACGGAGGATCTTGCTAAGAATAAACCACCACGACCAAACCAACTTTACCTGTGTGCACATCTTGCTTTCGAAATAGATAAAGTCAAGTCAAAAAAGTCGAGATCACACAATCTGCTTTCATTCATTCGTTTTCTTTTTGGCTTAGTCCCTTTATTAATCAGGGGTCGCTACAACGGAACATACCGCCAACTTATCCAGCATATGTTTTATGCAGCGAATGTCCTTTCAGCTGCAACCCATCATTGGGAAACAATTTGCTTTTCATAATGAAATTTAAATCTGCAACATGTTACATATTTTTAAAAATAGACAATTTAAGATCTAAATATTTCAAAGTCAAAATATTTGTCATTATGCAAAGTAAATTGTATGACACCCATCATGTGAATTTATACAGAAACACCAAAGCAGAAGAAGCTCTTTAGATCATTCTCAAATCAAGCTTAATAACATGACTAACAGGTTTTGCAATAAATACATAAATACCAATAATAGATGACACTTTGTTGAAACTGAAATGCACAAACTGATGACAGTACTAGGATGCTTACCTTGAGTGAAATTGTACCGAGCTGAAAATCCAGTGGCTTCCAGTTCGCTATCTGCTACAAACTTTATCCAAAGGTATCGTCCACTGGACCTAACATAGTTCGGGCTCACTTGTCCACAGTAACGGCCGATGATAGGAGAAAAGCTGAAGGGGCCATCTCTGACTTCAATGTGGTCAAACTTACACTCCCATGACGGCTCAATAGCATACTTATAGTCAAAATACAGGTCGATGCATTGCCTTGGAGCAGCTATGGAATAAGAAAAACTTCTAGTTAATAGCATACTTATAGTCAAAACTTATACTTATAGTCAAAATACAGGTCGATGCATTGCCTTGGAGCAGCTATGGAATAAGAAAAACTTCTAGTTAGATGTTCATATGTAGCTGATTAAGAAAGGTCAAACGGAAAGCTCGCTAACCTTCAATTATGTATATGCATTCTCGGTCAGGAGGATATTTTTCTGGGTAATTGGGAGATGTGAAAAGTCCTCCGTTGGTTTCTTTGATCCAAGAACCGCACAGTCCCACAGGAGTCACACCTGAGTTGTTTTTAACTGAAGAAACAAAGCGTTATTACAAACAAAAAATGTACAGTAAATGCTCAAAAGTATTTGAATCAATCAATATTAAGTGTTGAAACTAGTACTTCTTTTGTACAATGCCTGTTTTACTTAGAGGTGAGTGTTAATAAAGGAAAATTACCTATAGCTTTCTTCGGGGGTGCTGTTGGTGCTCCAGAAAATCCAAGATTGACAATACTTGCAACAACTGTTAGAATTAATAATGGTCAGAATAGCATGCTTAATCTGTAAGCAGTTCCCAATGTAAAATGTGAAAATACCCCTCTAATGTATTCTACATTATGTGTGCTATCAATTGTATTTGTATAACGCACATCTATATGCGTATGTATTTATGTTTTGACAGTGCATCATGTAAAAACTATTCTCAGTCAATTATAACGTTATGGTTTCAGTTAATCAAATTCAGCAAAAACAGAAAGTATTTAACAGAAATTACCAAATAGTATTTCAACTACGAGCAACGACATGCTGATCTGTGTTTTGCAACTTGATCACTACTCTCGGAAGTGCATGTTTTTATGTTCATGTAAATATTGCACACATAACCACACATTAAAAGCAAAGTTAAGGCATTAACTACATAATAAGGTAACTACATAATCAGACAATTGGCTACTTGGTCGAAAGCAGTAACCTGAAGCATCACATTTATTCTCGTTAACATAGGTTTACGTTTTGTTTTGATATTTACTCACCAACAAGCAGTTTCACCCGCGGCACCATGATTCTCCGCAAGGGCTTCAACTTTGAATTCCATGAAATGCGAATTGAAGTGGCGAAGCGCAGGATGAATTTAAGGAAATGCAACTACAGAAGCCTATAAAGCTTTCCGTCTTTAGAAGAATGCAGGATACGATCTAAATTATGTGAGATTCACTGCAAAAACTGTTGTGGCTCTTTCGCGAACTCCCTGTAGTTGAAGTCTTGTTTGATGGAACAGGTTGAGCACATCTGCGTAATCCGCGTCTGTGCACTGAAGACCTGCGGACACCCTGAGTGGATTAACACGATCCCTTATTCTCATATTTGGCAAGATTTTGATGATATGCTCATGAAATTTGTAATACACTGCCTCAGATTAAGTTTGTCCAGGTGATGTTAACCCATTGTTTACTTGTCGCGTAATGATGGCATAACCTACTTTGTTCAGTTTGTGGTAAACTCACAACATTAGTACAAATTGAAAATATGATTTAGCTAGGCACATATAGAATCAAAAATATTTATTAAACAAAATCCTTAATAGATTTTTAAAACGAGGATGAGGGAGCTCGCTTGTTTAACATGTTCAGCTGAAGCAATATTAATTGTGTAGTCTTCAGATAATGTTCTAATAGTAGATATGTGTACTACACTTTTACCTCATAGCCTCGTTTTGAATCGTGATAAATTAAATGTGGCGTCTATGCAAATGATCTATTGTGACATATTTGTCACATATGAAATATATGGAGCTAGATTAGTCTAAAAAACTAAAACAATTACAAAATAAAAAATCCTACACAATTCACTTTTAAACAACTGAATTCGGAAATTCAAAACACAATTCATAAATGCACAAATCCAATTAGTATTTCAAAACAATTTATAAATATACAAAGCACAATTTGTAAATTCAAGACACAGTTACATACAAAACACAATTCATAAATATGCAAATCCAGTTTGTAAATTCAGAACTGTTCATATTTCAAAACACAATTCAAAAAATTTGCAAATTTTATTTATAAATTCAAAACACAATTTGTCAAATATGAAATATATGGAACTAGATCAGTCTCAAAAATAATACACTTACAAAATAAAAAAAATCATACACAATTCACATTTAAACAATTCAAAATTTGTAAATTCAAAATACAATTCATACATCCACAAATCCAATTAATCCGGGCAAAAATTTATTATTTTTACTAGTGAATTCACACATTGTGTTTTCAATTTATGTATGGAATTTTGTAAATGTAAACTGTGCTGTGCATGTATGAGTTTTGTTTTTGGAAATGTAATATTTTTGAGACTGACCTGGCTCCATATAAATAAGGATAGTTAAGATTTTGAGTAAAAAAAAAACTACTTTACTCAGAAATTTTTCATCCAATCAAATGACAAAAATCTACAAAATAAATCAGTGCTAATGATAACTCATCAGAACAATTTTACTCTACACTGAAAAACAACAGAAAGTTTTTAGGGAAGTGTTTAGAATAAAATTTATTAGGGACCTGTAAGACTCAAAACTACTATAGGCCTCTTGGTTATATAAATTGCGAACATCAGTAAATGCACAAGTTTCTTTCATTTGCTATGGTCTGACGTTCTTAGAAAATCAAATTCACAAAAAGTGTTTACTTTAATGGTTCAATTCACATATCTTTTGTTAAATGTGAAAATACAGGCAAAAATGCAACATCCTCACTTGGGGCAAGCTATCTTTTTGATCAAATCAAAAACTTACGTTTCAGATCCTTATTAAAATAGCCAATCTAGTGATTAAACTAACCGCTACAATATTGTAAATTATTAAAAACCTGGCCCAAACAAATGATTTGAAAAAGGGTGGCAAAGTATAAAGATTTAAAATTACAATTAATAGTATTCTGAGGCTGCACTGTATCGCTCAAATACAGGTATTTTTGGTATATGTCTATAAATTATTACACTTCATGACATTTTAGTCTTCTCTGAACATGTAAAAATGCATGACAGTCTTATTTTTTGTGCAGAAAACATAAAAATAAGAACATGTTTTTAGAGTAATATATAAAAAATATAGTTTTATTATAGTTTAATTGTTTTGATGCAAGAAATAAGACAATATTTTGAACGCATATGTAGGGCTGCAATTTGATATATATTGTCCATATTGCCTATCTTTTTCAGACAAATAATTTGGATTTACAAAATACTAATTTGATATCTGTTTAAATTCGCTGTATATTATTTATTCTATAACAAAATAATATATGAACCACAACCATTGGTTTCATTTCCACTATATTGCAGCATATTAGCTGTAGCAAAAGACAAGACTGTGGTTAAAGTAGAAACTTCATGTACAAAAATGTGGAGGAAAAAGTGAATAATAAGACACTAATATGGTCCCAGTTGCCTTCTCCTAAACTGCTGTTCCTTGTGTTGCTGCTTTTCATCAGCATCTTGTTAAAACAAGAGAAACAATGCTGCTGCAGAACACAAGGAAAAACTACAAGAGACCTTGCATTTGTTTGCTACATTTCTAATCTTTCATTAGGACAATGTCCAAATTAGCCAAGAACAAAACTATTAATCAAAAATTGATGGCACTTTGTGGTCTGAAAGTCTGATTAATCAATATTTCTTTAAATTTGCCACAGCATTAGACTAAAAAAAACTTTACAATATGTTATACGAATTTAGACTGGTAAAATAAATTGCATGTATGTGTGAACAAATGTAAATTCTGAATCATCCGTGAGGCTCAAGATCAAATTAAAAAAAAAAAAGTTTTTAATATAATTATCAGCATAACTTGTTTTAGGAGATGCTACCTTCCTTTTTTCCTGAAGCTCAGGTTGACTTTGAAAATTGTCTTGTTTTATGATGCTATTCATCAAACTTATATGTATGTATATGGTGACACAGTGGTGCAGTGAGTAGCGCTGTCGCTTTACAGCAAGGTCGCTGGTTTGAGTCTCAGCTGGGTCAGTTGGCATATCTGTGTGGAGTTTGCATGTTCGCCCTGTGTTCACGTGTTTTTTTTTTGTTTTTTTTTTGAGGATTGAAAAAATAGCTATATTGATGAGCATTAACAGACCCAATACTTTCTATAACACAACTTTTAAGCTAACGCATTAATGTTAACGCATTAATGTGTTACACTAAATGTCAACTACTGTAGGTATTTAGCTTGAGTTTATGATTAGTCGTTATCTTCCCTGGTTTAACACATTGCATTTAATTTACATTTTGTTTGCATATGAGAATTTGCTGAAAGTGCTAAACATGAATTTCCTCGTTCAACATCATGCTTTAATATCTTTTTATAACCACTGGATGGAGCAATAGTATCATATTACTTTCTGAACCTCAGCTCCAAACAGTGGGATATCGCCAGTGGACAGCCACTTTTTTATTTATTTTTTTATTGTAATAAATTACACGACCATATATTTAGTCATCAGTTAATGCTTTACATGCTTTAAATAAATGAAAAAAATAGAATGTAGAACTGTACATTTAATTGAATACAGTATTATGGAATTAAACGCTAATATTTGACTTTATTAGTAGCAATGTTTTATTAATGAATCGATTTGTAAATGTTATGTTTACGTGTAGTTTAATACATACTTTTAACCACTGAAATTATTGCGCAATAATCTTTAGCACATGCTAAAAATCAGGGCGTTTTCCAATATATGCTATATATGGATGAGATGAGAGAGAGTGTGGAGAGGAGAGAGGAAGATTGAGAGAGAGAGTGAGGAGAGAGAGAAAGAGAGAGAGAGGTACTGTCGTCTTCACAGATCTCCAAAGAGTGCTCGTTAGTATTTCGGCTCAGGTCTTTCACAGTCATGTTGAGAGCCAGGGAACCGGGCTCTTTGGCCGTGCTGGCCTCCACCCTTCTTATGGGATGCGGAGTGGCGTTTTCCCTCGGACAGAATGAGACAGAACCCGTAGTTTTGGAAGGGAAATGTTTAGTTGTTTGTGACTCGAACCCGTCCGCCGAAGGAGGAGTGACCTCGTCGTTTGGGATATCCGTCCGAGCTGCTGGTGCTAAAGTGGCATTTTCTGCAGTCAGAGGAACTAACCATGAACCGTCAGAAATGAGTAACAAGTCCATGACAATCTACTTTGATCAGGTCAGACCCTGCTTTCACATTTGCGCATATTTATGCGCTATGGCATGCAGTCTCCACGTTAACTAAGTGAACAAACACCTTTTTGCAGGTACTTGTGAATATTGGGAATCATTTCGACCTAAAGGCGAGTGTTTTCCAAGCCCCTCGGCGAGGCATTTACAGCTTCAGCTTTCACGTTGTGAAGGTGTACAACCGACAGACAATTCAGGTGAGTGGGTTTGTTTACTTTTTTAACGAAACTAATCACAAAATAATTGAATTTTGTTAGCAAACTGAACGTTTTTGACGTTTAATTACATGGATCAGTGCTGATATTAATTATTAATTTCTGACTGTATTGCTTCTGTTTCTGATACTCTTTTTCAGTTTTACTAATAGGTGATTTTTTGGCATTACTGTTCATACTTTAACTTATTAGCCTAGTTAATGTACCGCTTCTTAAATAATTCATTAAAATTGAATAAACATGAGAATAAATTAGGAACTTATTATTAGACTCATTATTATTAATGAGCAATATTTATTTCTCATTAATAATAATGAGTCATAATAATAATAATAATAACAATAATAATAATTAATAATGAGGAGCTTATTATTAAACTCCCATATTAGATATGGGATTTGAATTAAACTGTATGTCATTTTTGACTAGTCATTTTCTATTACTAAAGCAATGGTAAATGAGATACAACATGTTGTTAGTATAATGTACAGTAGACTCTCATGTCTTACACATTGTGCATGTACTAAATAGATGGTAGTGAGTACATTGATTATTTTTAGTAACTTAAAAAAAGCAAAATTACCTGTTTTCACTGTTGGAAAAATCCTAATGATTAAACTGAGACTAGTGAAGACTTATATTTCTAAAAATAAGCAGTAATAATAAAGGAAACCTGAAAGAAAATTGTCACTTGTAATTAAAAGTATTTACCACAAACTCATATATTATTTATAAGCAGCTACTATTCAGTGTTATGGAGCAAAGGTTGATCTGAATTGTTGCAATATGTCTGCTTACATCTTGTGTTTCCAATGTGCTCATTAGGTCAATCTGATGCATAATGAATATCCAATAATATCAGCGTTTGCCGGTGATCAAGATGTGACCCGGGAGGCAGCGAGTAACAGCGTTCTGCTTCACCTGGAGCGTGAAGACAGACTCTATCTCAAACTGGAGAGAGGAAACCTCATGGGCGGCTGGAAATACTCCACATTCTCCGGCTTTCTTGTTTTCCCTCTTTAATTGAATACAGCCCAGAATGAAGATCAAGGGACATTTAGAAGAGAGCACATGGAATGCATTGATTATTGTTAGGATACGAAGGAACAAGTTTGTATGTCCAGTTGAAGTCAGAATTATTAGCCCCCCTTTTATTTATTTATTTATTTATTTATTTATTTATTTATTTATTTATTTATTTATTTATTAAATATTTCCAAAATGATGTTTAACAGAGCAAGGAAATTTTCACAAATTTACACAGTCTTATTTATTTAATTTTAGCTAGAATAAAAGCAGTTTTTAATTTAAAAAAATAATAATTTAAGGTCAAATTTGTTAGCCCTATTGAGCTATATTGTTTTAGATAGTCTACAGAACAAACCATCGTTATACAATAACTTGCCTAATTACCCAAACCTGCCTAGTTAACCTAATTAACCTAGTTAAGCCTTTAAATTTCACTTTAAGCTGCACAGAAGTGTCTTGAAATATATCTAGTAAAATAGTATTTACTGTCATCATGGCAAAGATAAAGTAAATCAGTTATTAGAAATGAATTATTAAAATGTGTTGTAAATTATTAAATTATAAAAATTATTATAAATGTGTTGAAAAATATCTTCTCTCCGTTAAACAGAAATTGGGGAAAAAATAAACAGGCGGACTAATACTCTGACTTCAACTGTATGTATGTAGGTATGTTTATGTGTGTGTGTGTGTGTGTGTGTGTGTGCATTACCTATATATAAGATTCAAAAGAAGGTAGGATAGTGACTATAGCTGGACTACCTAATGTGCATATTGCTTTGAGAAAGAGTGGGATGATATCGTCAATGACTTCTTTGCATTCAGGAACATATTTTGCACGAATCGTGTTTCGTTATGGGCTCGTCGCTGTATTTATTTTTCGTATAAACCTTGTACAAATTTGATGTTCAATATGAGCAAAGTACAAAAACAGCCATTTCTCTTTAATCAATGTTGTTTGGCTTGATGAATAGATGAGCAATGATATCTTGCGTTTTATATGACTTGAATGTAAATATGCCATATCACAAACACAAGGAATGTATTTAATGTTTGTATATAAAACCTTCTGGAAAGAAGGGAATAAAGTAATTTAAGAGCGAGTGGTGGAAAGAGAAGAGTGTGTCGCTGTCCGTGGTCCTGAACAAATGCTGTCAGTCAAAAAATGCAGTATTAATGCTATAACCTATAAACATGCAAAACTTTTCTTAGTCACATTCATACAGAATACATATTAAGCCCCACACATATATTTAGTGCACACTAGCAACCTCTACAGACTTTATAACCTTGAAATTAGTATTTTTAAGATAATAAAATTATAAACATATTGTTAAAATATATCTCATTAAGCCTATTGATAGGGTGCAGATTTAAAAAGAATGAAAGCAACACCAAGCTTTAGAGATCAATATGAGATGTCATCTAGATTTGTTGTAACTTCAGTTAAGGCATAACATGTTTTTTTTAAGACTTCGTCTAACACAAGAGTAAATTTTAAAGGTTTAACATTTACAGCTTTATGTATTTTTCAAAGCATGGCTAGGAAACGAGATGGAAATTAGGCAATTTATTACCATGGGCACAATTAAAAACTGTGAAGACAGCATTATTTGGAGGTGAAATGCAAATGTGATGAGGTATGAGAATGATGTGGGTGTTAAGTGTTAAACAGTAGAATATTCCTTCCAAAAGCAGAGCTTAAAAAGACACTAGCACATATTTTCAGCGATCAAGACCGTGTCACATTGTATTGTATCATAGTATACATAGTGTGAGATATCAGTGGGTAACCAGTGGTTATGCTAGATAATTTTTGAAAATTTCATTTGATGTTTGACCTCATGTTGAGAACATGGACCTTCTATTGCAAATCTATTTAAATAAAAAAAGAGGAAAGAAAAACATTTTCCTTCTCCTGTCTGTCTTCCTGTCATTTGATTTGGCTTGGAAGTAAGTAACATCGCCCAAAGGCTAAAAGCTGTCTAATGCATGTTTCTGACCTTTCTTTTTCATAAAGATGATTAAGAATGAAAACATGACTCAACAGCACATGTCGCTGCTAGGTCACTGAACATGACTTTGGATTTGGGGAACAAAATGCAGAAAATGTTTCAATGCATAATTTTTTCATTTGTCTTTTATGAACATAAATCTTCATAAGAAGTTGCTAAATCTGACTAAATTCCTATATATTTTAAAATATAAAAAAATGTCATTAAATATTAGGAATGCAAAGTAGATATCCAAAGCCAAATGCTGCATCATTAGCAACGAGAGTACATAAACAAGTCATACCATGAGATATCACCCGCAGCAGTCTTAAATCAATTATGTAATTACTGTGTTGAATATGAAATATCATGATTTCATAGACATAGTTCACTGTTTACTCATGTCTTGGGTGCTGGTGTGAATTAAACTGGCTGATAATGAATCTGCCTGCTGGCGCTCTTTTTTTTTTAATCTTATATGCAAAAGTAAAGCAAGATTGTGTACTTAATCAATAAACTGTTTATGCTATCAATATCATACTGAACATACACCTAATTATGAGAACCATGACTAAAAAATTAAGCGGATATGAAATGCGAATTGTGGTGTGACTTCAAAATGTTCAACAAATCAAATTGTTTGTGAAGGAGCCACGCTTTGTCTAGATTACAGCTTGGGCTTCTTTCAAACAGTTCCCCGAGGTGCATTATGGGGAGGTTTATAAGCAACATTTGGCGAGGTTAGCTGGACACTTGCTGACTGTTGTGGCATCGCTTTCTGGCCACACTCAGATTTTACATAGTATTTTGCCAGTTTTGTAAAGAAATTCATTTGAGGATGGAACTTTAATTAGTTTACAAAAGTAAAAGTAATCTGAAGCATTTGAAGTATAAACCTTGAAAAAATCTTTGTAAGATCATGAAACACATTCAGATTTTATTAAAACAAGTTAGGATAATTTAGTCGCATGTTTTTATGAAAAATTAACAATTTGGCGTGGGTGAAACAGGAGCACCTGGAGGAAACCCACATAAACATGGGGAGAACATCCACACAGAAATGCCACCTGACCCAGCCCAGGCATGAATTGTGACCTAAGCTAAAGTGTTACCCAAAATAGAAAACAATTTGGTTACACTTTAAACATGTCCTTTTTACAAAATAAGGTAACACTTTAGTCCAGGTCACAATTCATGCCACACTCTCAGAAAAAAACAGATACACAAGCTGTCACTGTGGTGGTACCTTTTCAAAAGGTACGCATTTGTACTTAAAAGGGTCCATGTTGGTACCTCAAAAGTATATTAGCACCTAAAAATTTTAAGAGGAACATATTTGTACTTTTTAGGCATTAATATGTACCCTTGAGATATTAATATGGACCTTGTATGTACAAATTTGTACTTTTTGAAAAGAAACCACCCCAGTGACAGCTTGTGTTTCTGAGAGTGTATTAACTACTGACTTTTTACCTGCTTGTTTTTTGCCCTGATTTTCCCTGTTTATTAGTTATAAAGTATGTTCTCTAATTCTACATAGCTAATCCTACCCAAAACCTAAACCTAATTTCTACTTTAATAACTATTAATAAACAGTTAACTAGTAGTTTAATAAGCTAGTAGTGTTAGTAAATGGTTTGCAAATTGTGACCAAACCAAAAGTGTTACCCTATTTTGTTATCTTTAAATATTATTAATTTGTCATTGCTTTACTCTTAAGTGTCACATATTCCTTCATAAATAACTTTAATATGTTGATTTGATGCTCAAGAAGCATTCCTTCATGATATTAATATTTAAAATGTTTTTAAATAATACAATAATGTAAGGAAAACAGGCTTCAATATCATTTAGCCTTTTATAGCTTATAGTACACAGCAGAAAAATACAAAATACAAAATTCTTTAGGACCTTTGATTGGTACAACAAGCTGTATAGAACTAAAATGATAATCTCTACATTAAGTACATGTAAGAAAATTATCTTAATTTTATCTTATATACTTACATTATTTCAAACTAGCATATGTAAGAGAAAAGAAATGATAATAACAATAAACACGAAAAAAGCAGAAATATCTATATTATCTTCATGAACAGTTCAGATACAAAAAGCTCTAAATGCCATCTGAAATGTTCTTCTAAACTGAGTGTTTTTCTCAGCCTTTGTGTTTATGTTCAGTTATATCACATTAATGAAAAAAACCTATTCATAAAAGTGAAATGACTGAACCTACACACATGAGGCTGAGACATGAAAATCTAATTTTTAGATGATGGATTTGAGATCTTTTTTTGCACCTTAACTGTTTATTCTGTATTATCTATATTTTGAATACAGAACAAGTACACACACAAGTACATGCCGAGCTTTCTTTGCTACTGGTTTTGAGTGACCAGAAGAACATAAAAGAATTTAATGCTCTTTACGATCTTCACATATAGGTGCCGTAAGCAGAGGGTTAGTGTGATTTCACCAAATAGGACATGTTCCTAGATCAAAATCTATTACTGGAACAACATTCCAGTCAGCCAATCACAGTTTAGGCTTACAGTTCTTTTACATGATTTTTATCCAATTATTGTTTCCCTCTGATTTTGGGAAATAAGTTACAGTTAGGATTGGGTTTAGGGTTATAGGGATTGGGTTTAGGGTTATAGGGATTAGGTATGGATACATTTTTGAACAAAAATGACAGAATCAACGTTTCAATCAAAGATTGCGTCCTAGATGGCAAAATGACACCCACCATCAGCAGATACATGACCTCCTGAAGTCAACTAGCATTTCAGTTGTTTTGTTCTCCTCAGAGACAGGTTGTTGACTTTACACTATAGTCTGTAAGCCAATGAACTTTCTCTCTGCTGATTCATTGTCTTTGCTTTTTCCCCCAGTTGTGTCATCTGCAAACTTGATGTGGTGATGTAATGTTTTTAAAGTCACTTTTGATCAATTCAATGAATACAAGTGTTCATTTCTTTAAAACATATAATTTCCCCCCAAAAATGTGTATATGTGTCAATTTGCTGC